TTACTTACTGAAAAAGTTTCGTAGTTATTATAATGCTGTGGCATTATATATTTGATGAATATTAAAATATTTCTATTGTTAATTTTACTTAATTATTTTTTCATTTTTAATCATGTCATTTTAAATTAAAAGATTGCTAGTATGTGGTATTACTGATATCATATTTGGTAAAATAGTATTTTCCTCTCTGAATGATAGATAGTTAAAGCACAGAAACAAGGAAAATATTTAAAAAATTTATAACTTTACTAATTTTAAGTACTAAATCAAAAGATGCCTTTTTAATATTTGGTATAGCTTTATTTGAATTGAAAATTTATTCAAATTTTTTCTTCACTTTTATCATTAACAACAATGCACATATAAAACTAGGCTTAAACTTCATTTTAAGTCATTTTAAATAGCTAGCAATTCAATAAGTTTTGGTCACACGTTCTCTACTACTTGTACATACATAATTCTTGCATTTGGAAACAGCGATAGAAGAAATTTAGTAATCTGCTCTCTTATTAAATTATACAAATTGAACTGATGACATTTGCAGTCATTTATTTTATAAAATTTATTAAATAAAATCTATACAGTAATGATAATTATTAAAACTATCATGTTAAAAAACTATTGCTTTACTGATAATTAAATTTTAGTCTATTACTTAGTAATAATAATTTCTGTGAACTGCATATTTTTAAAACATAAATATATCTTCTTTTTTTTTTGCTATTTCAATCTAGTTACATTTTCAATTAGTATTTAATTACTTTATCGCTGAGATTTACTTTTATGAAAAATAATTTTTAATATTTGATAAATTGATTAATTTTCATTTTATTTGTCAAAAAAAGAGCTAATTTCAATAAAAAAGTAAACAGAATATTGAAAATATTTGAGCAGAATATTAAAATTTTTTATTTGGTAGATATTTTTTTCTAACAATAAAATCAAATACTATTTACTGTCTGCCTGATTGACCTGATTGAAAGAATGTTTATCATGTTTCTGCTTCCTTCTTTGAATTCGTTAATATCACTCAAAATTACAATTTTTGGAATTTGATAATAATAATTTGATTATTATTTGTAGTAAGTTTGTAGGGATGAATCTTCACTCAGATGCATTTCATACAGCAATACCTCCTCATTCTTCGACGTCAACTGCTATAATTAAAGAAGAGGTAAAGGTATGCCCTGACTTTGATTTAGAATTTGCGCTTCAATTGCAAAAGATTCTACATATTATTATCTTTAATTAATTGATGCCAATAGTAAGCTGATACTACTCATCAAAAAAATATGATAGCAATAAGAAGTATTATTGTTTATTATTATTATTATCATTATTATTTCTATTAATAATAATAATGACAATAATAATGATAATAATAATAATAATAATAGTATAATAGTAATAGTAATACTATTAGTAGTATAGTATTAGTAGTATAGTATTAGTATTAAAAATATTACTAGTAAGGAATAATTGCAATTGTAGATTATTTCTTATTTGTTGAATCAAGAAGTAGTCATAGTTACAAAAATTAGTAAGATATGATGAAGAATTAAAATATGATTTTTCGAGTTCAAACTTATTTGCAGTATTGAATTAATTTATAATTTGCAGCCGACAGCATTCAATTCAACTTGCTTTAGTTGTCCTCCATTACGGTTACCAACTTGTCCTGCAACAGCATTTGCCCAACCTGGTCTGTCTTTTTTTCACACTTTTTTAAAAGTAGTCAAATACCGAAAATAATTTCAAATCCTATTGATTATCATGGTTATTAGATTGCCATAACAATAATAATAATAATATAATTTGTGATTCGTAATTGGTTTTTTGGAGCTTCTTTGTATTTATTTAATAGATTTGCAGTAGAATTAATGTTTTTTGATACTTTATGCTACAAGTTCTACGTAAATGAATAAAAAAACTCCAATTTTTTGAACTTTTGTAACTACAGATAATCATATCATAATTAATGAAAGCAGCATTAACTTCTCCATGGTTTATTCTTGTGCTCTAAATCATAGGCTAATTTTTTCAATTAATTACATAAAATGTAAGACATTTTTAATGATAATAAACTTACATTTTGTTACACAAAACAAGTGCTTATCAATTTGTATAATCAAATAATAAATTAGTTAGTCGAACTGCCATTGACGATTTTGATAATTTAATGATTCTTCAGTGTTTGAAAATGATCATTTTTGCTGCAAAGTTTATTTTTATAGATAAAATAATCACTCTTTACATATTAAAAATGTAAATCTAACTAAAGTATTTATTTTTTGATACTGTTTTTAATCTCTTTGCTATCGTTATTTGCTAACTTTTGTCTCCATAATTATTGCCGCTATTATTAGTATCATTTTTATTACGGTAATAATTGGAAGTATTCATTTCACTATGATATGGATTATATAATAGCTTTGAACAAAGCCAGAAAAGGTGCTAGTAAATAGGTAAAGGGTCATTTAAATGTCTTAAACAAGAACGTATTATAATGCGGGAAATATTGTCAAACTTATTATATTCGGTGTAGGCTTTGAATATGAGATGAAAATGAGCTTAAATAATAGATTATTATAAATAGACTTTCAGAATAAAAGCGGAATAAGATTAAGTCTCAGACTCCATTGGATAGAATTTAGAATTGATCATGCATGCACTTTGACCCTTTGATAATACAACTAGAGAAAACTCTATCTTACTTTCAAAAGCATTCGTCATTAAATCATTCATTTATGAACGTCTATTATGCAAATTACTGTAATTGATATGCAGTAATTGCGGCAACATAGCAAGCAGTAATGCTAATCGAGCAAGAACCACATTTGATATAGTCTTAAGATTTTTAAGTATTTATTTACTGGAAGTTGAGAGCAAAAATAAGTAATCAAAAACTTTTAAAACTCAATTGGTATCAGTAATAGCTTGTATTATTACAAATAATATTTGATAAAAAACTCAATTTTTTATAAAATAACACTTTTCAAGTACAAAATATATTGTAATTTGTATTCATTTATTTATTCAGTCATTAACCTTTTCGAGCATGCTTTTCATAGATATGTACGTGTACGTATACGCGCATATGTAATGCCTAATTTTGCGTTTACTCTTCTCTACGCAGACATTTCTCATTTGCTTTATGTATATTTGCTATTGCAAATGCTTTCTTGAGAGCAAAATTTGAAAGGGTCTATAACATTGCATAAATATAAACATTTAGAAGGATAATTTTCACCAAAAATCTTAGATTTGCTTCTTTTACGTTTCTATAATATCTCATGTATTCAGGAATATTCCGAAAATTTTTCAATTTTTATTCGTATAATTCAAACAATATTAGAAAATTGTACATCAATAAAATTTCAGGTCTGATTTTTAATTTTGTTCATCTCTAAATCACATAATAATTATGCCTGAGTTATTAAAAAATATGACATTTCAGCAAAATCTTTTTACAAAATGTAATAAGTGACCAATGTCACAAATTTTATCAATTCATATATTGTGCTAATGTGTTTAAATGCATGATTAACGCAGTAATTTTAGAAAAGAAAAAAAAAAGGTCACATAGGTCAGGTGAAATTATTTTTCATCTTAGAAAAAGCTTTGTCCATTTTTAATAAGGTGAAGAAAAGCATGGCAAAATGGATGAAGAAATAGATGGATAAAGAAATAAATGAATGAACAAAGCAAGAAACGGTGGTTTGAATAAATAACTGAAATTAAGGAAAGGCAGCTGCAGCAATCTTAGAATAGCAAAAAATAAAAATATATATACATATACATATATATTAATTAATATGCTTTCTCTAAGGCAATTTTACTTCAAAACCAGCCACCATCGTGTACTCAACCTTTGCCTTGGACATCACTTAAATTGCCCACTAATTATTTATTTTATTTTGCCAGGACGTGATTGATAGAACAATGGCATTAGCGAGTAGAAGCAATTTTGTGTAATTTTCTATTTTCACCACAAACCTAATTGTTTATCTCAGTGTATTCAATGAAAAACATTTTAAAATTTATGCTCCCTTAGTTAGTTTCAGAATGATACAATTACAATAATAAATTTTATTTTATAAGTTAATCTCTGACATAATCACAATAATTTAATCTGCTAATTCTTTACTGTATTTCAAGCTTGAACTAATTTAATATCTGAAATCAACGAATAAGGTTAAATTTAGATCAAATTCATCAACAGTATGTTGAAGAATTAATTCAATAATCTTTAAATTACTACCAATTGTTGATCAACTTATTCTATGTTTACTATGTAAAAGTTAAAAAGCACTAATGATTAACTTTGTGAAGGAAAAAAGTTACTTGTAAGACTCACTTATTCTTCATATTAAAATATAGATGTAGACTAAGTTTCAGTGCAATCAGTCGAGTTATATATAGCAGCTAATTGCATAAATTACAGCATCAAATTAGACCACTATTACTAAGAAAAAGCAGTATTTTTGTTTTTTAATGTCAAAATTATATTTATACAAAGTTATGTCATGGAAATGATTCTTTCATATCTTGATTTGATACATTATCGCTAGGATTTCAATGTATCATTATTGACTACCGTAAACCCAAATTATTTATTAGTCATAGTTAGTTAGAGTAAATTACTGCTAAATAGAAGTTACTCAAAAAGAGTCAATGTTAGAGAAGTTTAGCTTAATTATATAGAAGCCAAGAAAATACGGCCAATACTTTCTTGACTCTCTTTTCAGTCCTTAATTTTGTCATTGTCATCAACAATGTTAATGTTTTCTTATGCTACACTTGCATTCTCGACAAGACTTCAAATTGAATAAGCCTAATCAAAAGTGTCTCTCTTAGCTATCCTCATTTTTGCTTCCTTATCAACGCAACTTACTTACTGCACTTACATCTCGTAAGACTCAGAAGTAAAGAAAATCAAAGCTACAGTTGAATGAATTAAGCCAAAAGATGAATCAATCAGAGTAAATTTAATCATTCAAATGAGCAATTTGAAAACGGAAATAGAAATTACCAAAAGGTCAAACAACACAAGCAATTTCAGCTGTTTACCTACTCGTAAAGTTTCGACTTTTCAAGTCAAACTTTGCAAGACAATTTATTTTGACATAGACAAATCATTTTTTTTTTTACTACTTCTCAAATTTAGCCATTTTTTTTGCAATTTCTACTATTTGTTTGTCAGTTTCTATGATTGAAAATTTCACAACTCAACTGAATTACATTTATGAATATAACTGTTACAGTTCTGTCATTTAATTTTTTCTATCAGTCTAAAAAGCCCCTAAAATTACTTAATTTTAGTCAGTATTTATGTTTTTAATAACTAATTACTATTAGTTAAACCTGTTATTACCCTAATTTTACAGTATTTTCATAGCAGCAAGAAAACTACAAATTCACAGATATTTTATTGAGAATTTGCAAGTATTATCATTTTTTAGTAAATCAAAAATCATTATCCTGTGCAAATTTCAATTCAACTTTGTTTAGATCCATATCAGATCTTGGGACCAACAAGTAGCCGCTTGGCTAGTGCAGGTAGATGTTTTGAGCTGTTAATTTCATCTAAGGATCATAATTTATTGTTTGATTGTTATTGATTTAGTTAACATATTTAGCATGAATAAAAAGATAAGAAACTATCATTTCTATTAAGATTAGTATGTTTAGTGTCGTAAGTTTCAGGAAGTGGACAAATTCAACTTTGGCAATTTCTTCTTGAACTTTTATCAGATAGTCGTTACGCGGAATCTATTACTTGGGAAGGTACAAATGGAGAATTCAAGTTGGTTGATCCTGATGATGTTGCACGTCGTTGGGGTGAACGTAAAAGTAAACCGAATATGAATTATGATAAAATGAGTCGAGCTCTCAGATATTATTATGATAAGAATATAATGTGCAAAGTGCATGGAAAACGATATGCTTACAAGTTTGATTTCCAAGGTTTGTTGAAAAATTTGTAAAAAAAATTATTTATTCTTGCATAGTTAAAAAGATAACTTTTTTTAATTAATAACATATTCTATGCATTCAAAATATATTTAGTAAACTTACGAAGATATTTGTTGACTTTATAAAGAATTGTAACTACGCTGAAGCTCTTTTGTGACTTTTACAAAATTATTAAAGGAATATAAAAAAACATAAAGCGTATAATTTGTTGAAAATTGACTGCTTGAGGTGCTTCAATTTACTGTTTTTGTAAGAAACTTTTTTTGACAAAAATATTGACAAAAGTAATGAATTTCAGGCATAGCTCAAGCATTACAGCCTCAAGCTAATGCTACGTCTTCTGATTTATTCCAGCAGTCACGATTGCATTCATCAGAATTCATTCATTCACCATGGGCTACTGCAAATTATCGCACGCTTATGTCACCTCAATTTCAGGTTAACATTTTTTTTCAATGCTTAGATGAATCAAAAATAAATTGAGATCAGTAAGCAATTATAATAAAATGTAAAGCAAAAATATTTTTTAATTTGGTGTTATAATAAGAAGTTTTAAAGAAATTATCTTAATTACTACCATTTTGCCAAATTATTATATGCAAATATTCAAGTTTAGCTTCTGGCTTATTTTGAAATTAAATAATCAGCTAATTTTTGTACATTTCAGGCATCAGCTGCAGCTGGAGCTTTGTTCAATCCATCAGTCGGATATGCTGGATTCGGTAGTTCCAGTAATAATGCACTGCAAGCTCGGAATTTTCCTCTTTACGCATCATCGGGATATCCAAAATGTATATAATATCGCTATTACTGTACTAGCTATGAAAATGACTTATTTGCAACTTTTTCTAAATGTTGCATTTTTTAAAGTCATTGCAGACAGTTTTCTTTCCCTTTCTTTACGATAACTTAGTATTATAGTCGTTCTTTATAATCATTTTCCATTATACAGTACATAGATCAAAATGAACCTTGTTCTCGTTCTTTACCTATTTGCCTACTAAAACTGTCATTACTACGCTTACTTTTTATTTCACTTAAAATAAAACTGTCAAGAGAAGTACAAACTATATCAAAATGGATCTTTTTTTACAAGGTTTTCATTGAAAATAAATTTTTTGATAAAATAATATGTATTTTGAAGTATTTACTGCAAAAAGTTCCAACATTGTAAGTTACGTGAAGTGCATGTATTTTATCACTTGAACGACTGATAACTGGTAACATACATTTTGCCAAAATGTGGATTATTTTTTCATTTACATATAAGAAAGATATGCTACTAAAATACACTGTATTGTGTTTGTCCACTTATTTATTTATAAAACTTTTTAATACAAATTTTTGTTTGTTTTTTTTTTGCTGCAACTTGCTTGGATACAAGGATTCAATGATTGTTGCAATTTTTTGATTACTCAAATTTGAGTTTGTATTAATAAAAATTAATAAAGGCCGTCTATTAACAAAGTCTACTTCTAAAAAAATATTCACACAAACAAAATTTTTTCCCAAAAAATACTTTTTTCTACTTTTGTAAAAATTCTTTCAACTGTATACTTATTAGTATCAGCTGATAGTACAAAACAAATTTCTAGTAATAAAATAATTTACTGAAAAAAAAAAAGAAAAAATGCAAAAATGAGACAAATTGAGATTCCACAAATTTGCATAAATATGAAAGAAAAAATAAAATAAGAGCGATTTGCAAATGCTCAAATTTTATTCTATTCTTTTGGATTCAGTCAGATTCGGCTCTCATCAGTGCTTCTTTTGCAACTTGAAGTATCAAGTCGAACGATTTCAATTATCGCTGACGTAATGTCGCTGAAAGCATTGTGGACTGTATTATTGTGCGTCATTGTTGTGCAGTCACCATTTGAAGGTCAGAATATTTTTTCGCATTGGTTTGGTAATGGAAATGATGAGAAAAAAATGAGTCCGAATGAAAAGCACAATGAAGCAATTGGTCGTTCATCAAAATTAGTTCAAGCTGCAACTATACGGTCTCATGATGATATCAATATAAGTTTGGACAAAGTATTCAAATGGCATTTAGAGCGGATAACTTTACCGATAAAGTCCAAAATGAAAGCACTAGATCCGAAAGATGTGAAAAACAGACTCGAGAAAAAAATGTCAAAAGAAATTCAGTCTAGAAAGTTATAAATTAATTGCTTCGGAAATTATATTATGCGAAAAAAGTTACGTACTTATGTGATTCTTTCTGTAATTTTTTTGCAACTGTTTGCTTATTTTAGCTTCTAAATTGGTGGCAAGTATTCAGTACTGTGTTAATAAATAAATAATTAAAAAGATAAATATATTTCTGGTAATAAATATTTCTTTGCATGATTTCTTAAGCAAAGCATAGGTATTTTCCATTACTATTAGTGATGTTTTTTGATATAAGCTTGTACCTATTGAGTAATATTCATTAGTGCTGAAATAGCACAAAATTTTCTTTCTTAATAGTATAACACTTTATGATAATAACAAATATGCTAATACTAGCAAAAAACAAAACAAACTTTTTTTATGAACAAAAAATTACTTTAGTGAATAAATAAATTTGTGAATATATGACAATTTTTTTAAATAACAAAGTCTTAGACGTATATTTTAACTAAATAAATCTGCTTATAAATATGAATCACAAAGTAATGCGCAATTTTGTAACATTTGTTAATTATGAATTCATTATTATTAGTTAGAAAGATCAAAACTTTGTCATATTATAATGCAAGCAGTAAAATTCTATAAATTATATCACAACGGAAATGATTAAATGAACGAATACTGAGAACAGCTTTGTTTACGTGATGCGTCTCTGCAACAAACTGATTCTTATATCAATTAATTCAGTAAAGTACTGTTCTCATTTACTTTTAATTAAATTGGATTGTATAAAAATCAATAAAGTAATCATGTTCTGAGGCAACTATTCATATCTAAAAATATTTTTGTCGCATTTATAGTTCTTGAGAAAAGGACTTGCGTCGCAAGCAATTTTCATGCATATGCAGACATAATGCAACGAGACATTTCTGTTTCATGGAGTCCTCTGAGATAACTTAGTGTTTAATTGATTTGCAGTTTCTTCGTTTCTCGAATTTTTTTACAATTTCTAAATAAATTTCGTTTTTTTTCTGACACATTTTTTTCATAAATAATGACTTGAGCGGAGATTAAAAAGTAATGCATTAACGATCGATTATCGATTAAATTTAGTCAAGTACACTTACTAATAATTGCATAAGGTGTATCAGAATCTGGCTATATGCTATCGATTCATAAATAATATATGCCACCTAGGAATCTCTACAAGCCTTTTAAGCACGCTCGTTGTAAACCTAACCGTAACAGTTCACTTTTGTCCCATCATTTGCCATGGAAAGGAAGATTATGGCTAACGAAGTTTGAAGTGTAGTGTGGTACATTGCGGACTTATGATACGCATTATACATTTCCCGCCTGAAATATGTGCTTTGATAGCTTACGTGTCTATGGAGGTCAACTCTTTGTTAAAATGAATGTGTATCACTCATTTCTTATCTGTTTGCTTTTATCCATAAATTTAGTTATTGTAAATATATACGTCAGCAGTCGTACGTACTTCTGATTTCTGTCATTTCATTCTTGCGGTATCAAAAAGTTTATATGTACGTATTGAAGTGCATATTGCATATGTACGTGGTGAGTATAAGTTTGTAAATGAGATATGTTGTACGATCCTGCGATATGTTGCGTGACCCTTATGGTGTGTCCTATTTGCCCTACGTCATGTAATGAGCAGTCCTATTATGACTTTGCTTATTGCTGAGGTCAGGAACTAGTTGTTTGATTTGTTAATTAAGTAGAGACAAAAAATTGGACTGTTATTAAGTCATCTTAATTTTTATTCAATTAATATTTTCGTAAATTTTCCAAATTTGTATTAAATAATGAGCAATGTTGTATCAGTCATTGTTATCTCGAAGAGCAAATTATCATCTTTCCTTACTGATTAATTTTCAATGATAAAGCAACTTATTCGTCAAATACGTTTGAGTACTGCATCTTTGAAACACCAAAATGTAGGTTGGCATTATTTAATACATACATATATAGGCTCAGATATTACATGTGACATATTTGTGATGTTATTGAGGCAGGATTACTCCCTTATTATTTTGCGCTGAAATATATGTCAGTTACTGATTTTTTCGCAAGTAATTGAAAAAATACTTGTATTTCTAAAATGGACGATTGCTGTAGTGATGACTGCACTTATTTTGATTATTTTTTGTTACTTCTATCTAAAAATTTCACGCAAGTTTGTTATAATTATGCTTTTTTTCGTTAGACTCAATTTTCAGACGATATTGGAAGAAAATTCTGATGTTATCTCAGAGTACTGACATGTCTTATGTTCTAATATATCAGCTCTATTAAGTTACCTTTAATTTATTCAGACAGTACAAAAAACTATTAAGCATTTATTTTTCTTTTTTGTAAATTGTCGTTTATCTTTATTTTACCATAATAAGTTCTATTTATATACTTTTTAGTTATAATACAACAAATAAATGAATTGTGTGGTAAGTTTTTTAAAATTATAAATTTTATACAGCTCAAAACTAGGGAGAGTGACCAGGAATTAATTGATGACTGTCGAGAATATTTATGAAGTAACTTGTGCAGGAGAAATGCAGCATATGCAGCACAGTGATCCTAGTGCTGCACTCATATTACTTTTCGGTTGGGCCGGTTGCAGTGACCGGTATTTGGCAAAATATGCCAAATTTTATGAGAAAAAGTAATTTTTTTCTCTTAATTATATTTTTAAATTTCAACTAACCTGGTAGTTATGTGATAAAATAATTGTTGAATTGAATAAAAATTTACGATCAAATTTTCTAAATGAAAATTGATTAGTTTTTATTGTATTTTTAATTAATAATAGAATGCTTTCACTCGTGGAAAGTTTGTAGTTTTCATCAGGCATAATATGTAAAGTTTGCTTTATGTTGCATTCCTAAAAACAGTTCTGTCAGGTTGATAGATTCTCATAGGGCTCTTTTTTTTTCATAAATTATTTTACTGCATCATTATGTTAGAAGTAATTTCAGTTTCTCAGTTGTACGGTTTACGGCCAATATTCAAAGTGTGCGATCGTTTTCATCATATTGGAGTTTTGCATCGTATATTTATAAGAAAGTGCTAGAATCAACAGCAGCATCATCAATTTATTGTCATATGTTTAGCATGAATGGCTGTTCAACATTTTGTGCTTTGTGGAATTTACTAGAGACAGTAAAAGATTGCAAAGGATTGAAGTCGAAATTCAAGGGTTTAATTTTTGACAGGTATGCTATACAGCTTATCGGATCAGATCATATTTCATAAATTGACGTTACGTGTGGAAATACTAACTTTTCTTATGGCTGTGTTGCAAAATTAAGCATATGTGCATATGTGTGCTGTCGTATTACATATTTATTTAATTTTTTATTTTCTTGTCAATAAATGACTAGATTGGGATAGTTGAATCAATCAATTATTGTCAGAGTTGTTTCTTTAAAACTCCTTTAAGTCGTTTGATGTACATAATTATAGATGCATTAGCAGTCATTACGAATAACTTTTAATTTGCTCGTGCTTGCAATATTAAAAAAGTTTAACTTCATTGACAAGTCTTACTGCAAGACTGTAATGAAACGCAAATTCATAAAAGGTATTTAGCGGTGCTATTTTTAGTTGCTACTGTACTATACGATATTGCCATTTTTTATTTTCCTTTCTGGAACCCATTTGAATTAACACTTGCACTTGTTTTTATTTGCTGAATTGCTTGCCTTTTTCATTGAATGCTTGACGTCAGTTTTATCAAATAGATTGATATTTCAGCCTTGAGTAGATGCTCTCAATAACTTTTTTTTAAACAGTTTTTTTGTTAAGATTTTGATTTTGATTTAATTGATTCTCTTCAATATTACTATTGTTGTTTTCAATATGTATCTGTTTAATTCATTAAATCGCTACTAACTTAACATTACAGTGTATCATTTGTTGGAAAATATGTGTAATTTATGCTGAGGGCACGTAAATCACGTTTAGTACAACACTTTTTTGAATGTAAGATATCTGTGGAAGATGCCCTGATTGTCTAATGTGAGCAATGAAGATTAATAATTAATCATTAAGTTTCAGCTGTCCTGCTTATGTGACACCATGGCAAACAGCAGAAGCAATCTCATTTGCTTTATTACCACCATCAGCGTATAGCAGATCAGTCCGTGAAATTTGTCGTCTTATGTTAGCGGGTTACTTTTGGATATATCATTCCGTGATTTGGCTTCGATCTCGGTGGGACAAAGATGTCTATAGGCGGAATCATTGTTATTTTCGTATGTTGGCTATGAATGATTTACCAAAATATCAGCTTTATATTTATAGTGCTACAGATTCTATCTGTTCGGCGGAAAGCATTAACCAGTTTATAGCACAAGAGCATGAACAAAAAGCTGTAATTTCAAAGTTATTTTTTGTTGATACAATTCACTGTCAGCATTATCGACTGCATCCTAAGGAATACGAACAAGCTTGCATAGAACTTATCAAGAAGTCTGGAGGAAATAGTAGTGAACCCTTCGAAAATATCGTACATTCTCCTAAATAAAAACATGCCATATTATCTGCTTAGAATTTGGGTATTTAATATCTCAAAAAGTAGTTTACTTCGTATTCCATGAAAATTAATTTACTTTAATACAGGAATTTTTTGTCATGCAGCTATCTTCATGATTTTTGAATCACTGTATTACATTAATTTGAAATTTCATTTCTGAAATACTGAACTTTAGGCGATGTTTAGTTTCCAGTTGTTATTATCTAATGAATTACTGTTCTTATGTTATTCTAAATGAGATTCATCAGCTGTATCTCATTTCCTTATCACTGTTATGCTAGTTTACTAAGATTCTAGTAGTTATATTAGTGAATTTTCTTCTAGTATGGTCCATCTTATAGCATATTTATAGGTTTGATATAAAGAAGGAGAAGCCTTGTGCTTCTAGAACGAGATTATATGTTTTTTAATTTAGTGATTACGAAATTTGACATGTATGTAGAGTTGGTACAGAATTACTGGATATTGGCCCATCACAGAAAGTAAAAACTTATTTAATATAGTAATGCTACCACTTATTGCATTCAGCTTCGTATGCTTGGTTAAACAAGATTTATATTGTTGGATTATGATTTCTGTAAGTTATTTGTGAATATTAGGTTGAGCTACACTATTTAAAAACTTTTGCTTGTATTATTATTATTTATTTACTCTTTTCTTTTCTATCAGTTATTATATATTTATATACTGAATCTATTTGTTGGTGGTATTGATCATTATAGACAGTAGCACTTTCATTCAAAACTATGTTTATATCTTGCATCTTAAATTGGCGAAGTAAAGAAATATGCTCCATTTTGATCACAGTTCAACTAAAAAACCTATTAATAATGTCGTTATTGTTTGTACAAAAACGGCAGTTAACGATTTTTTGATATCTTCTAAATGATTATTCCGTGTAATATAAAACACGATGATAACGGTAGAAACACAATGCACGTGAGATAGACTCATCATTATGAGGTATTGTTTTGTAATTATTGTCCATGTATATTTATTTACTGGGTAACAAATGTCGTTAGCTCAAGTAAGTGAAGAGTTTATGAAAGGGAATAATTGGTCTGTCACTTTGATTTTTAAGAAAGTTTATTTCAGGCTCATAATTCGTCCCGTTATTGCAGCACATGAAGAGAAAATGTGAAGGAAAAAAAGTAGTTGTGTGATATTTTGCCTTGTATTTGAACGCATTCAGCTCTCCTTTGCTCTTCTTTTTCGTTCAAAACTTTGCTCTTTTACTTACACGTTGCTATTGAGTTGTCGTTAATTTTTTATTTTTTGCTTTATTGTAAACGTGATATACGTAACTAGTACTTAAAAATGCTTTGAAAAAGTGAGAAAGTAATATGCAAGTAATAAAAGCATCTATTTTACTTGCAGAAGTGTCATGTAAAGCAGATAATAAGCAGTCATATGTAGCAAATATGAGTATTGTTAGAAGGGAAAAAGAAAAATTAGTATAATTATTAGAGTTGTATTTAATTTGAACTTATTTCTCTTACATCATACACTTGCAAGAACAAATACAAAATAAATTTTCTTATGGTCTCGTTTTTCACATTACTTTACTTGATGACTGCTCATTTTTTAACTCGCTTCTTCTATACCTTTTTTTCCATCACTGGATACTCATATAATCCATATTATTTTGCTCAACTCAATATTTTTTTAATTTGTTGTGTATGATTTGATAGGTGGATATGTTGCTTGGTAATAAATTATATGCTAATTACGACTTAATTTGCTTTTCATTAAGCTAGAGATGAATTAAGCAAAAGTCAATAAAATATGAAGTGTTCAGAGCTTTTTGTAAACTTATAACAAGAAAATAGGATTAAATAAATAATATGACAGATAAAATTAAAAAGCTAGTCACTATTATATTTCTTCGGTATTATAAAAATTCAACTAGTAATCGTGAGGTTTTAATGGGTCTTAATGCGATTAAGATTTACAAAGAATAGTCTTAAGAACAAACAATCTCTGGCACTTATGTAGTGGATATGTAGTGAATTGGCTAAATTCGAAAAGATATGTAATCATAGTCATTGTAAACTTACCTACGATTTCAACAGTACAATAGAACTCTACTAAATTCCTAGCAATTTTTTTGCCATGCGCTTTTGTTTACATGCCTCTCTAAGGTGTAATTTTTTCCTAATTAACCATTAACTGTGAAAAAATTTCAATAATATTTATTGAAAAGATAGAAGACATAATGATAAATACGGCTATAGAACATTCATTTTACATGCAGCTATAAAAATATTTAGATTCAGCATTTATATGTTAGAATCTTAATAATGTAGTTACTGTAGCCAATTTTGTAAGCAAAACTGTTTTAAATATTAATATGAAATCGATGAAGAGTATATATGTAAGATAATATTCAATGCACTGTTAGTAATTTCGAAAAAATTTGCATAATAGATGAATAATCAGGTGAGAATATTTAATCATTCAAGCAATGATAAAAATTTATGCTATCTCAAAAAGATAGACACATAAAAGGAAACTAATTGTGTAAATTGTTTTGTGCAATAAACATTTGAATGTGCAGTGTGTGAGAGAAAAAATGATTGTGCATTATCAACAACATCATCAGCAACACAATACTAGTCTTATCAGTTGAATAGAATGCAGAGATACTGTGTGCAAAGTATTGTGAAAAATATGAACAGAAGCTGTCAGAAGACAAAATGGATGAAGCATAGCCCACCCGTATTGCCACTGATGACTCACATCTTTCCATCTATCTCTTCCCTTTTCTACCACTCCAGTCCCATCTCTTTTTTTGAATTGGGAAAAATGAAGGCAGTTAGTGGAGGTATGAAGGTAGTTAAATGATGAGTAAAAGTGATGTACAGAGTGAGAAAGCAACATTTTTAGACAAACTGTGCCTTCTTGATTTCAAGCTTTCTCCCATAATATTATGTATATGGTTTTGTTGCTGATTCAAATCATATTTTATGCTTAAATTTATACCAATATGACTCGTTAATAAATGCTATTTTTTAAGCTTCGTTTTGCCATGAAACAAGCTGTTTGCTATGCAACGCTCCTTGTGCTAACTGTATACAGTATACAGTACTACGCTAATATATCTATAAGAGTAAACAACTTGATTACAAGCAAAGATTAATTAATTGCTCAGATCTGATGATGGAATGTATTATCACCATACACCATTACAGTTAGCTGCTTCATACTTGGGTTACTGAGTACTAACTGTTACGAAATGCAATCTGTATATGGCATTCAGCTAAAGATTGTTTTTTACAGTAAACATCAGCTTAAAAAACGGACTCTTAAATTAGCTGCTTGAGTGTAAGATTGTATCATTTGTTCAGTGCCTTAGAAAGCATGAGTTGCAACGTATGAAACTTCACTTAACTATTTCAAACTTCTCATATATTCTTTTTTCTCACCTATATTTTACATTCACCACTGCACTTCAATGTTTATTGACTTAGACTCGAAGTTTCTGATTGTATGGTAGTAGGTAAAAGATGGAAGTTCATACGCTCAAAATTCAGTCTTGTTGATGCGCAAATATCATTATGATCAATACCTTTTTATTTCTGTAAAAGAACAACTTTGAGATTGTAAAATATTTCAACTATCGAGTTAGTTTATGGTTTTTGACTACTCCTCAGGTTTATACAAGCAACGAATACTAGTAAAGTAAAGTGGCTATTGTCCACTCTTCTATCCTCCTTCTCTGTGACATTACTAACATGGACTTTTCTGCCCTATACATATATACTCCTTGGAAATGAAACATTACTGTTAGAGAAATAAACATCACTTGTCTAAGCTGTATAGAGTCTGTTTAGAGTGCAATCCTGTGAAAGCAGTTGTCTGCCAAAATTAATGACAAGCATAACTTGTTTGATGACTTTCTTTTTGACATATGCGAAGAACTACGCTTGTCAAGCAGACAGTGAAGTGAGGGTCAGAGATTGGTTGCAACTTAACCCCATAAACTGACGTTAGTTTTTGTGATCAACTGATAATAAGAGAATTGACTTTTATTAAATCAAAAATAGTGAAGCTTTTATTAGAAAAAACCTATTCACAAACTGTGTCATCACAAAATCATCATAATCGCAGTTTTTAACAACGACAATTTAGATCTACAACATTATCTAATCCGCGATCACAATAATGTATACTCCTTCATTTTGCGCAACTCTTTCACACGTAATCCACTATCTGAACATAAGCATGAACTATGAAGGATACCAAATTTTACGTGTAATTCAAGCAAGTATGCATCCCTTTCATTAGACACTAATATTTTAGGAACTATATGCCTTGCTGTGTGACATTCTCAATAATATTCATAACGTAACTTCAAATTACAAATGATAAGCATATAGAAATAAATATGCACAAACATTTGTTACGTGAAACAAAACAGTCAAAATGGATGAGAAGATGAGAAGGTCAGAGATGTATAGGAAAGAGCACCGTGAAAATCTGGAGGAATTGAATGTTTTATAGAAAGATGACGTCACACGAAATATTGAATAAAGTATGTGGAGAGAGCAGAAACAAATTGATGGTAGAACAGAGTGAAAAGAACGATAGAGAACGTGTCTGAGGGAGAGTGACCGAGAGAATGACTCATCACTTCCACTTTTCCGTTGATTCATCGCACATTGCAGCCTTAACCGCCACCGACGGTAAGTCTATCTATATCTTTTTTAGTCAACGTACGCAGTGCGTACTTACGCATTCTATACTATCACATTACGTGAGTGCACTTGCATCAGTCATTTCATTTTCATAATAGCAACTGAATTTTTATCTTAGAGTAAGGAAACACGTACGTGCACTTGCATTCATTCATCTCAATTGTTGGTATTTTTATTGATTTTTCTGATAAAACAGGTGCACTCGAGAGGGCAATTCATGCATGCGCTCTACCGTTAGCTTAACATTTATTCCGAATAATTATTTCTAATGCACAAAGGCTATTTTTTCGTAATAGTTTCTTTACTCTTTGAGAATGAACTTTTTGGTTTTTTTATAATTCACGGCATCGTGATTTCTTATGCTAACACGTGCTATCAGTTCCATATAAGTTATCAGTTGCATGTGCTATCAGTTTCTTACTTGGAACATTTCATCAAAACTAATCATGATTCACTTTTTTTCAATTCATACTTTCATCATATTTACGTGAACTATTTATGAATAAAAAAGCTAAAAGAATTGCTTGTGGTTCGTTTTGAAATTTTAGTTCTTCGTAGTGCTGATATTGAGCATCTAGTTCTCAACTTATATTGGTATACCTAACAGTAATCTTCGTTTTTTCATGCCTATTACTGAATTTCAGCCATTACACCATTTTATTTAAAAACAATTTCAACGAGCACCGCGCAAACATTATTTGTAACTTGACATTTTTAAGCTTGTAACCCTCCCATCCTACACCCTTCTAGTTGTTTTTCAGTTGTTCCTCCATCCTATTGTACGAAGTAGAAGTGGATGCGTAGACTGCTCTCTCAATCAGCATTTCGTTGAGCCTGTACTTGAAATAGACTCATTATAGTGCAGTTGTTGAAACTGTGATTTATTTTCTGCTCACAAAATGACGGACAAGTTCAACTATAGAAAAATTTGTAATGCAAAGTTTGCCGGCATCGAAAAATTTTCAGTTTCCTTCTGAATAATACGGTCTTCCTTACATATTATTACGTAATGAAGTGAAAAATATGTGACTAATTGATTAGCGACCATGTACTGTAAATTTTCGATACAGTAAAACATTGATAAGAAACAAATGGAAAAAATTATCTCTTCTTAACAAGTTTTTTCAAATAGCTCACTTCCTTGTACTACTAATACAGTGCATTCTGCTGCAAACTTTTTGTTCTTGTGGTCTTTTTTAAATATTATTGGGAGCGTACTCTTGTTTTTGCAATAATTTGTTTATCAAAATATTATTCAGAACTGATAACATGCTGAGGAGTGACGTAGTGTTAAGGCGATCTGCTAATAAAATGTTGAAATAACCGACTTCTTGCAAAATTGTTCCTCTTTTACAGGAATTCAGGAAACCACAAATGTCGACGATACCATCTTCAGCAGCTGCCACCGCTGACTTGTCAAGTGCCAACACAACTTTGAAACAATTGAAAAATAGCTTTCATTTGGATTTTTCTTCTGCAAATTCATCAAAAAAGCAAACATTTAGTTCGGATTTGCTGGATATCATCAAGGCATCACCAACAATAGGAAAAATGTTTTCTCAAGGTGAAGAAATTTCATTGTACATTAAGCGGCACAATGAAATGTTGTTCTTGATGTGTTGTTGTGCTGTAGTTTGATAATAGTCGTATTCAGTGATTTTCAAAACAAAACTGTCCATTTATAAAAGCCAGAAAGATATTACTTAGATTGCTTTACGCTCTCTGTTTACATTTAAATAGTTATGCTTATTTTGTGGTGGATTATTAATGCCCAAATCAGAAACCCTCTAATGAGTTTGCAAAAAATGTATTGTTAGCAAATGTGAAGTATGAAACTGAGTAGTAAGTGATTTATGAAGCTAGAACAAATACAAGTTTATTTTAAAAGAATTAGCGTTTAGGAGTAGTTATGAATAAAATTAATTTTGCAGCAAGCACGACCACACCAACGCCAACTAAGCTACTTTACCCATCTGAAGTAACGCTTGCACAACGACAGTATGCTCAAGGTTTTATTGGTAAGGAAATTATGAATTGTATGCAGATTCAGGCTGTCTTAAAATTGTTTGATATTTGTCTGACTTATATTTGTTTCATCTGTTGTCAGTGGTTTGAATGATGTAGGTTTCACGGACAGTGATTCATTCAGAGTTCGTTGCTATTATTGAAAATAGTCAGAAAATTATTTTTGATAGTATTAAAAGTGCTTTTTTTTGAAATATTGTAACGAAAATTGTCATGAGTGACGCTGGTTCAGACTGTAAGTGATTTACATTCTTACTTTAATTTTTGATATAATTTACTCACAAAAGTTGGGGTCATGAAATTTTTATAGCATCGTATTGTCTTGTCGAATTAGTCTTCAGCAATGGATATTATATTTGCGTTATGCCCTGCTGCAGGTATTTGTGCTCATTTTGATTGTTGGTACATACTTAGCTTACTGATTTCTCCTATACTTATTCTGGCGCTTAGGAGTCAACTAATTAGACTTATACTGTGCTTTTTGTTCTTCTACCATATTACTAGTAAGGAATAGTGTGATAGGTTATTAAAAATTGAGTGCTTCAAAATCATATTTGTGATGGTATGTTTTAGAATTTCTTTTCATAGGGACCACTAAAGTAATATATATCTCTCTGTAGGTTTGCAGTTTTTCAAGATTTGAGATGAGATATGAATGAAATGTGGATGGAATTTGACTAATGTGGTTGGTTTGCTCATCTGATTTTCAATTTAGTCCTTAATTTTACGATTCATCTATTGCTCTCATAATTCAATTTCCTAGTATGCTTCTACTCAAATATAAATTTACTATCCTTTTTCGTACTGTTATCAGTGCGCCTGCTGCAACCAAGAGATGTTTGCGTAGTGTTTCTCTTTTCCATTTATATTGCTTTCATTGAGAACATCTGCCTTATCATTACCATCATAAATATGCTGTTTTTTTTTTGATTTACTAATAGCCATCATTTCTCTCATTTCTCTTCAATTTTCATATCTCAGTGATGGCGCAAAAAATGCTTACACTTGTTGCTCGTTGACAAGTGTGTATTATTATTCTCCCTTTGTAAGATCTCTTTTCAAGCATTCGTATTTATAAAAAAAAAAACAAATTGAATAGTGCTCTTGCGGCGCTGAAAGAAATCAGTGGTTCTTTCATATGTAATTTGCTATTTTCCACATACTTAAAATCTTTGTTCATGAAATGCGACAAAGTATGGACCACATACTTTGTTGCATTTCATGAACAAAGATTTTAACGTTTTTTTAGTAAGCAACAGTTTCCAATTCGTTGTCCAACTTAATTCATCTTTTCATATCTTTCTAATAGATGCTTTAGACAGACATTAGATTAGTTGATCTCAGGATTCACCATTTTTCGAAGAAGGCGTATTGCAAGTTGATGCAAGCTACTGTATTCCTCCATGGCATGTTATATTCTCAACGCATGTGAGCAAAAATTAGTTTTACTTGAATCTCAGCGATTAACTTCAGTCTTGTCCTTATTTTATTTACATAATATGCTTGTAACAGATATAGTAAACAGGATATAAGGATATATCATGTGATCTGGAATTGTTATCTCATTACTTAGCTAATTAGTAATCGCTATGTATAGGTATGACAGAAATTGCTTTTTTATTTCGCTCTATTTTCTTACTGAAATTAGCTACTGCTCCTTACTGATTGGAAACTAGAGTCCTTTATTTTTAAGGTGTTAGTCATTTTTTGTACTAGTTATAGTCTGTAATATTTATTAGCATAAATGCGAACAAAGTGTATGATTCAAAGGAAAAATCTCAAAAAAAAAGTTTGTCAACTTCTTATTATTCAGTAAATGCAGATCAATTTGTGTTAGTAGGGAAGTAATGTGAAATATGGTCTTTACTAGACAAAATATTTTTTTGTAGACTTGTGTAGTAGTATAGTGTACATATAAGTGGAGGAGAAAACTCTTTTTTGAACTTAAGGTCATTTATAATGACAAGTTCATATTTAGCGAACATATTGAAAACTATTTGCAATGCATATTGCAGATGCACTGACACAGGTACAGCAATTAAATGGATTCGTTCCATCTCCAGCACTCCTTAATTCACCAAGTTTTCTGGCTCCTTTAATTCAGTCAGTAACTTCGTCAAGCAGTAGTAACGATGAAACAAGAACGGTAACGAGTCCCGTTCTGGCCAGTCCAAGCAGGTTTGCTTTCTCATGCAGTCTATTGAATTTTTCTCTTATTTATTGTGATGATAAGAGTTATATGGAACTAGTTTTTTATTAACATGAACAGACAATGCAGATTCTAAGCGCAATTTATTTAAAATTGTAAAACACTACTTAAGATTAGTAAGCAACATCACATCTATCACAAAAAATATGATGAGGCATTAGAGACGTACGATCTTATTTTTCTATACAGTTGTTTGCCATTCTTACAGCATAATTCTTTGGTATTAAAAGAAAAATTTGAGGAGAGAGTATTGTGTGGAAGTATTTCGCATAACGCTTTGTTCTCAGATGGTGCAACGATTTTAATTTGAACAGAAAAAAAAGCCAGGTGTTGACGAAAGCTTCTAACTTAAAGCAAAAGATTTTTTAGAGCACTTTTTAAGAGGATGAATTATATGGATATTCTAGAAAATTCAGATATCATTTTTCTTCTGTTTTGCCGAAGATGCTTTCATTATTGAGGTTTATCAAAATATCGTGGAATAGTACAAAGCACAAATTAGAGATGAGTGGGTAACTTTGCTTATGAATGTAGTTATTTGAAATGGGGAAAAAATCTTTTCAGCGCTCTAATTAGAAATGTGTTTATGAAGTTATTTTAAGAAGAAAATCGATGTCTTTGTCTGAATAACATTTAACTGAATAAATTGCAAGCACAGGAGATAACAGTTGGTGAGATAAGGAAGCGCTGGTTTGATTTACCTGCGGATCATAAAAGTAGTTGTTAGTTGTATAGCTCATCAAGTTGATGGTCATTAGAAAGGAATTAGTATTTCACTTTTATTAGATTGATGGGAAAGTCTTGAATCATGTGATATTATGAGTACCATGTGTTAAGATGAGTCGAGTTGTGTGTGTATTAGCAAATATTAAGAAAGTTAAGTTAGGAAGTGTGGGTGTGGCGTGGTGGGATGGATGTAGTTTATATATTCACAGTGCAGATTGTCTAGGTAACTGATGAGTGACATGATAGAAGTGCTGAGGAAATGTATCGTTGAATCAGAGAAGTTGGAATGAATGTCAGTAACTGTTATGAAAGTTTATGGAATAAATATATGATAAATTTGGCTAGCTGTAGAAAGGTTATATGAGTCGGAAGATCGCGTGATTGAATCAGACTTTCAGACGGTTGTGAGGCAGGAGATGATGTTAGTAGTGCAATGTGCAATAGATGGAAGATAGTGAGTAATCTGAGTGGATGACGAGAGGCATGCAAGTAGAATATTTGGGTGTGTTGCTTTGAATGTTTGTTACAGTTAGCTGGTTGTTCTTCTCTACGGCAGACCTATATTCAGCTGAATAGGTACCGTTTGGAAAGGGACGTCTGCTCGCAAGCACAAATTGCATTTGCATTTGTTCTGCTTGCTAACAGCCCTGCTTGGTAGGCAGTGCTGTATGTTCAGGAATATATTGCTTGCAGACACTATCTTTCTTCTCCAATTCTCCAACTGTGAACCTATTCCTACTTCATCTCATAAACCGGCTATCAGCTTTGCCAGTGTTGTATTCCTCTCTTCCAGCCCATAACACACATTCCAGAATTTGTATTTTGTTACAGTCAGCCACCATCATTCTTTTCAAAAATCTTGTTGTATTGCACATTTAACGCAACATTTTGTTATTACATTTAGCAACCCATCTTCATTTTTATCACATTCCGTTTCTTTTCTTGACTTATATTTTAACAGATGTATGTTAGCAGTTAAGGAAAGCATAAAGTTAGATGACTGTTTACAATCTAACTTACTCTTTTCTTGGTTGTGAGACATAAGCAGACTGTTCATAAAATTACATATAGCAGCAGCACATTTGTGAGCGTACTCATTCCATCTCTTGAGAAATCCCCGCAATTCATTATCACAAATGCACTCCCTGTGTATTTTTAATTTGTTCCTAGTTTCATTTTGTGGTTTTTCTCCTCTATTTTTTAAAATTGTTCTTGTGAGCAGTTGAGTAGAAAAGAAGGAGCGGGAATCGCTGTCGGTGGTATTACTTTTTGCATTGCAGGGAATCGTTGTCGGTGATAATGCAGGCAGCCATGAGCGGCATGGGCTCCCTCGCTGGATATGGTTTCACCCAACTGACTCCCACTCAACTTGCTCCATATGCTGTGCCAACGTCCTCTTCTACAATGACTACTTCTGTACTGCATCAACATCAACATCACGCTCATCCTATATCATCTGCCAATTCAGCGAATACTGCTTTACACTTCGATGATATCACTGTGAAAAGTGAATTGCCAGGTTTCGCCATTTATACATCCTAATTTTGTCTTTCATTCACCTTTTCGGATTTACCTGATCATTTCTCATATTTTACGATTAATAGCGTCAGAACAAAAATTGTTATCGTGTTTTATCGCATTTCTGCGCATACTTTGGGTTTCTCTGCTTATGGAAATTTAAAACGATATTATTTTCTTCATCCGAAATTTGTATTTTACAGCGATCAATTCAGGCTGCAGCTCAGTGGCATCTATACTGTCGGACAGTTTGAAAGAAAGATCTACTTATGAAACGTATACCACCAGTGAAAGTAATGAAATGGAAGGATGTACATCATCGATACGCTCAAGTGTAAGCCCTCGAAGTCAAGAAGAACATATCTTCGTGGGACCATTTCCGTATGTTTGCTATAACAATTTTTTTTCTTTTCATTTTTACCAGTGAAAAAATTTTTGATAATATAGCAGGAGTAAATAAAAGAGATCAGTAGATTTCAGTTTTGCGATTTGTTGCTCAAGATTTTCCTCAGTATGTACTGACGTTTAAGGAGTTAAAAAGAGTCAACACATTTGACAAGCGCATATGACAGTTATGTTGATGGCATGAATGAAAGTTTCGAAGGAAATAGGAATGTAGGTACAACACAGCAAATAACAAAAGGAATGAAATAAAATATATAGTTATGTTGTCACGGTTAAAATTTTTGGAGCATATTGATCATTCAAAAAAAAGTATATGAAATAGGCTAAAAGTGTTCAATTCAGTCCCTAGTTAGCGAAAGTTATTCTTGCCACACTATTTTTGAAGTAAATAATATATGAAGTAAAAGAGAACTAGGAGTTGGGAATTACTGATGAGATATATTTGCTGCCTGATAATACTTGGATTTTCTGAGATTTCACTTCATTTATTGCTTTGTTGTATGATCAACTTTTGTACCATTGATGGTTTCTTTCTGTAACTTTAGTTGATGTTATGACAACTATTACTAACCATCTTACAGTTAATTCTCTGTAATCAGCCATCTTGACAGTAAGTCTCTGCAATTATTTTGATTTGATATTTCAATTTGAAAAATGTTTAATCATTGCATTTACGTGATCTTATAGTAATGATAGTTACGATGCGTTGGAACAGGAAAAGAAAAAGTTGGAAAGGAAGCGAGCACGTAACCGTCTTGCAGCAACAAAATGTAGACAGAAGAAATTGCAAAAAATTAATGATCTCGAGAAACAGGTTTAATTTGATGTTTTTTATAAATAAATTTGATTTCTTTAGTAAGTGCCACCAATACTAGCGTATGGACTTGTATTACCAAAGTAGTTATTTTGTTTCAGATTTTCTTTCTGGGGTGAAATTTATTAGTAAATTTATTTTTACTGTCCTTGTCGCGCATGTTATCGAAGAGTGTAATGCATCATCATTAACAAATTTGTTCCAAGCTTGCTCCCTTATATAATTTCATTGTTGTGCATTACTGAGCATCAGTGTTGATAATCAAAGAAATTAATAAAAATTTGTCGTAGCGATTCTTCCTTTTCTTACGCGGAGTTTTTTTTTCCATAAATATTTCAAGTAAATACAAAGCTCTGTTGAAGGTAGAAGAGGAAAAGCTCAGAGCGAATCGTTTAAATGAAGACCTGAAACATCTGGAAGCATCCATCGCTCAGTTGAGGCAGCTGCTGCAGGAACATCATAATAACGGTTGTACTGTATCAGCTAAAGCGATCTCAACATAATTTTATTGCATTTTGATTGCTAATGGTTTATTCAAAATATATGTCTTCGGTGAAGTTTTTTGCTTTTTATAAAGTCAATGGTCTGCTTTCTCGTTTATTACTAACCCACTTTAGTAGTGTTTCTGGAAGTCAATTATACCTTTTTTCTGATTATAGAAGTAAGTACGAAATTGACATCGAACATCGAAGTTTTGTTTTAAAACTATTGTTCAAAAAACTACACTCATATGGACTCTTTTTTGTACATTCTATGCATATGTGAAATCTCGCGTAATTTTCTGGTTTAGGTTTTATAGTAGATCATTAAAAACATTCAGTCGCCACTGTACTTAAGCTTTGTCTTTGAAAGTGTTTGCCATGTTTTTCGCTATTTGTTATATTTTGCCTTATTTATGTATTAATAAGCAGTCGACATTCTCTCGGTAAATTCTTTTTGACCATTGAATGAAGATTTCTCCATCTAATTTTTTCTAACAGTAAAGTAGAAAGTTGTAATTTTTACTCATAAATGAATAGAAAGCAATAACAGTGTTTTTTTTTACTTGAAATGACTAGAGCAGTTCTTGTTTTAATTTTTGCAGTCATAAATGTGAACAATGCTTGTGTTAGTTAATGTAGAAATTTCTGTAAACTGAATTAGTTTTGGTTGTGAGCTGTTATTCATGTAGTATCAGTATGATTCGCCCGCAATTGGAGCTCATATCATACAGGATTCTTATGTTGTGGCTTATTGTGAACTGTGCTGTGTTTCTTTTCACAGTTGAAAAAGTAAGGGTGTTAAGTTTCTTTGGTTGCCTGAACGAAAAGATGCATTGAATTTTTTTTTTATTCACAAACGTTGAAAATCACAGTTTGCCATAATTATTCGTGGTAGATTACTTGTTGCCATAATTTTCAAGTTTACAGGTATGTTGGTAGTGTTCTGCTAAAATTCTTGCAATTCGTTGCTTGTCGCTTGTATATTTAAAGTATCTAATGAAAACTTTTATTTGTTAATTTATAACACTACTTTTATTTTTTTGGGTGTTATGCGTATTTCTGTTCCAAAGTCTTACATAAATATATAGTGTTTGATAAGAAAGTATGATAAACAATAAAGGCCCGTGAATTAATTTACTACTTTATAACCTATGCTTGATGGACATTCATGCCGTAATAACTGGGTATTGGATTATTGCGCATATGGAATTTGAACGTTTACGGGTGGTTTTTGATACATCATTTGTATTGGCAGTACAGTACTTTCTCAGAAGTGTGTTGGGAAAAAGTTATGAACAAAGCGTTGACCTGTAATTTCATGGTTTGTTTGTCGTGATTTAGGATTGTAGCATTATATTGTATGCTGATAACGTGTTATTTGAGTATAGTACATTTAAAAGGAGTGGTGTACAGAAGAGTTTTCATATTTCCTTGAACATTATGAATATACAGATTCGGCAGCGAGTACTGAGTACTGGATTATCGTTATAGATTGTCGTTATGATTTTTACATATGTTTTGTGTTTGTTTTTGTTTTAACTTTGTGTTTTTAGTTAAATTTTCTTTATATTTTATGTTTTTCAGTTAAATTCCCTTTATATTTATATGGACTAGTGAACAGATAAAGTCTGTCACATTTTTGAATGCAGTCTCTTTAATACTAAACATTTTGTAATATATGTCATGTATTTCTACCCTTTATTACTGATTTATACATTAATTAGGAATGCAGATTCATTATTAATAGTTGGGATCAGCTATATGAGTCATAGCGTTCACGTAGAATCTTTCAGTTGGAAAAGCGATCAAATCTGATCAGCTTTTGGTGTAGACAATTTTTTAAGTGAATGCATCACTCATTTATAGTCTTTTCTTAATATTAAATTTGCTTTCCTGTGTTCCAATCACACATTTTCTGACTCATATGTTTCCTTTTTATCATTTTACTGTAAGTTTAAGGCTAACGCCCAAGTACTCTCGTTTTTCTGTGAATTTCTAACATCTGCTCTGAACTGATTACTTGCGTTTCTGGATTGAATAGGACTGATTATTTAAATTTTTTCTTATCTTGCACAACTTATGAAAATTTATGATTCAAAAATTACGTTGTAGTTCATCAAGTTTTGTGCATAATAAAATTTAATAGAATTTGTTGTAGTAAAAATGTCATGAAATATAAAGCAAATAAAAATATTAATAAATCCTGAAGGACTATTGTGCGTTGCATTCACCATTTCTCGCGTTCTTATTCACATTTGGTTATCACAATCAAAGGTTCAATTGCGACTGATCTGCTACAATATAAGATAATTAATATAATCTCCAAGATCTCACCTGTGTGGCGCCAGTATATTTCCTTTTTCATCATAAATTGATTTATATTGTTCATTTTGAAATTATGTAAGGTCTAGGCAAATTTATGCAAATTTTTATTTAAAAAATTTCGGAAAAAAAGAACACAATTATTTTGTTAACGAAAAGATTTAAAACTTTCGCATATTGCGGTTTTTTAGTTTTCATTATCTTTTAATTGAACTCAGTGCTCCCAATTTGTAAAATTCTAACTTCATTCGCAAAAATTTTTTATCTTTAATTCAAAGCAGATTAATTTCTATTTATTGCTAACTAATGTAATGCAGAAGTTACAGTAATATTGTGTATAATTTTAAATAATTAAAGCAGTTGAAATTGAGTTCTAAAAAGTAGTTCAAATACTATGAATGAATTTTTTCATGTTCATTTTTATTATATTACTTCCAAAAATTGGTATAAGGCAAGAGAAAAAAAATGCTTTTACAAGTTAAACAGTAGGTAATTATGATAGTATTTTCCACTCCAATGGTTTTACCTTTATAATACGCTATCGCACACATTAAGATATATTTCTTTTAACTTATTCAAGCTGAAGAATACTGAACTTACTGTTCCAGAAGAATGATTCAGACAAGAGATGAAGAAAAGTATGAAAAGTTGTAGATGAAACTTTTGAATATTTCTTCTTCATTTAATGCTATTACATTAAACAAATATCCATGCAACAGAAGTCTATATTCTCATTTCAAATAGAAGTAAATAAATAAATTTATGAATGAAGTAAATATTATAAACATGATATCCATCAAGAGCAAAAATTTTGTTAATTATTAAAAATAAGTTAGTTGCATAAATTTTCTGCAATTTTTATTGAAATATACTACAAGGATAGCCAACATAAATGATTTGCATAATTCAGCACATAAAATCATTTTAATAATTAATAACCATATGTGAGTAGTTTACAAAAGCATAACTTCTATCTAAGATATAATTTTTGTGGGTGGTATGGTATGTAAATTAAGGCGGAGTTGTCCAGTTAGACTTTATTAAGATTTTTCTTACCCATTTTTTGACCACATCACAAGGCAGGAATAGCGTTCTTTGCCTTCATTTTACTAGATCAAGCATCGAATAATTCTTTATATTCCCCAAAGCTTAGCTTTAAAACCTTTCAATGTCAGTTTTAGCTGTATATTACGTATAGCTTTTGATAGCTTAGCCTTCAACAAGCATAATGGTAAACATAACAAAACCTGTTCTCTTCTTGTTTCATTCATTATTTCTTGTAACAATAGTAGAAGGTTTTGATTATTTTGGTAGTTGCTTATTGCAACAGAAAAAATTTAACGAATCACTTCAACAAAGTCAAATAATAATCACTGCTACTGCATTACAAGTTACAGTTGATCCAAGGAATGATCATTTACAGGTAAAAACATTTTATTCTATTATATTTTTGCTATTTATTTAATACAAATGTAAAATTTTCATTAGTAATAGAATATTAGTATTAGTTGCAAATTTTTCCACAATTAAATTCATTATCAACTATATAAATTAGTTTATTTAGTAGCATTCATTATGCATAAACCAGAACATGTTATTATTGAAAAGATACTACTAAATCATTAATTAGAGTTAAGTTAATATAAGAAAAAAGAATGTGCAATTAATGACTTAAAAATATTATAGTTAGTAATTAGATTGAAGACTTAGAACAAAATCGCTGTTCAAATTAAAAAAAAATTAACAACACTATCATGTATGGTACACCACGATTTTTTATTCTGTTACGAAGATTAACTGACATTATCATTATCGCAGTAGATAATATTTTTTGTTGAAGAAATTTTTTTGCATTTTTACTTCAATAAACTCAATTAATCAAAATATGCATATAAATATATGAAGAAGACAATTTTGACTAACAAATAAAAGAATGTAATAGAAAAACAAACAGATTCCCATAATTGTAGTTTAGTAATTTACAACAAAAAGATTTTCTTTCTTTTCAATTTAATTTGTTTTTTTCAGAGCAATTTTTCAATGCTTTTATTTATTTATTTGACAAGAAAATTTATTTGACTGTTTGAATACTTTTTCATCTTCAAAAATTATTGAAGAAAATATTTGCACACAAATTTATTTTTAAAATTTATTAAAATTTGAAAATTTATACTTTGTTTTTGCTACATTTTTTTTCCTGTTAGCTTCTAACAAAGTTTTTTACTTATTCAAACATATCAAACAAATGTAACTAATTGAATCAAATAATCAAAAACATATCAGTGTTATGAATAATCGAAAAAAGTAATGCAAATTTTGAAAAACATAAAGAGACTATATAATTGTTGCACAATCAGTAATTATTAGTTAATTATAATAATGTAATTTTTAATTTTTATTAAAATTAATGTAGTTAACATGAATTTGGTCCAGTTTAATTTTTTGTAACCCTTGACCACTTTTGTCTTTATTGTTCACTGGCAGTGATAATTTTGTAATGAACTGATTAATATTTTCAATTTTAAAAAGTCAAAAAATTGCTTTTAAATAGAAATTTGAATTTTTTCGAATAAAAGTCATTTCACTATCTCTTGTAGATTGCAACGGTTAGAATTAAGCGAGTTTTCAAAGGTTTCAGCATTATCAACGGTAAAAAGAAAATCGTTATTCAAGGAATTAATAGCTCAAAGGTAAACTAATTTACATATTTTTTTCATATTTAAGTTATTATTACAAAAACTTTTTGCAAAATTGAGATGTTTATTAATTTGTAAAATTATTAAAAAATATCAAATTTGATCACCTCCAAATATTTTTAAAATTAAAAAGAAGTGAACACCAAAATTGATAAAAAAATAATTATTAGAAATGAAAACCAAAAAAACAAAATAGTGAAATTTAAAAGGCCTTCAAAAATGTCAATATTTTGTTAATTGAAAGTTGAACTGTTATATTTAATGGAGATGAATATTAATTCTAACTTAATACATTCATATGAATAAATTGTGATTTAATTGAATAAAAATTTGATATTTTTAAAAGTTGAGCTGACAAATTTTGTTGTGATTGTATGCAAATAATCTCTGAGAATTTTTTTAAATGCTCGTTTACTTCAAATATTATAGACATCATATGTAAATCAATTTTCTGATAAGTAAATGTCACTTAAGCATAAATGAATTTAAAGGAAAGATAAATTTTGACCCTTTTAATTATATATTGTGCAAACCCTTAATTGCCAACTTTTATCATTGCGGAAATAGGAACCAAATTGATGGAAATTAAAGCAAACAACTTACTTATTTATTGAAAGATTAAGTTTTCAATCAATTTTACATTCTATTTCATTGTTTTAAAATAATTTACTAATAATTAATTTTTAATGCGTGAAACTTTTTTATCAGAAAATTAATTTGCGTAATCACTTTCCATAATCAATGTTATAAATTCATGCTCATTTCATGATACATTTTACTTGTTGTATTATTTGGTTTCAGATATGTCACAGTGTCTTATATGAAGGGGATACAAAAATAATCCTTTTGAATGAGTTGAATGGATTATTTTATTTGAACTCATCACTAATTCCTATTAATTTACATATTCTCGATCAACTTAATGCATTCTTTAAAGGTTACTGCTATTTTTGCTTTTCATTTATTTATTTTTTGCATTTTTATTTGTTACATATTACTACTGAGCAATAATTTTTTGCTACATTTATTGTTGATATTATATAAATATTAACTTATTTTAGTCACTTTTATATTAACAACTTTGTTTGAATGAAATTTCTGTTATAAAAGCAAAAAAGTTAAATTTTAAATGGTTATTAATGACAAAATAAACTTTATTTTATTATTTATTTTTTGTACATCGCTGGTAAAAAGTTTTTTTTATAAAATACTTTACTTAAGCTATATTGCGCTACTTTATCTTTTTCCTTCGTCAAAATCTTTCAATTTGCTATTTAAAATAGGAAAAAGATCATAAATATGATTATTATCAAAGTTGATAGAAAGTAATAATTTTTTATCAAATCACAGCTCACAGCTCACAGCTCACAGCTGCTCATTAACAAAACTAATTGTTTAGCACATCGACGATTTTTCTGATTTTTTGATCTTACCTTATGCAAAAATTTGCTCACTAATTGGCTACAATTTGCAATACTTAAAGCAAATTATATTTAGCATCTTTTCTTCACATTTCAAACCATCTGTGAACTCATCTGTAAACTCAAAAACATAATGCAAGAATATGTAAATTTTCATAGAAGCACCTTGAAATGCAAAAAGAAAGACGATTTTTCGCTTCTTGAACGATAAAGTTACTTTAATTTATTTTCGTAAGTAACTTGAAGATATATTTTATTTGAATAAAAAAGCGTGCTGAGTTAAAAAAAATGAATAAATGGCATTGCTTTCATCTTGTTTGCTATACTATTACAATATGAATGAAAAAAACACATAAATTCCAATTTAATTATTTACTGATTTTTTATTATACATTAGATTTAAATGTTAATTAGTTTAATTTTAGGTCAATTTCTGTAATTGGAAATTAAATTATTCTTTATGCTATATGCAATTATGGCAAATTGAAATATTTTGTGTTATTTGTTTATGTAAATTGAAATACTAATTATTTAATATGCTATTAAACTTGATGCATTTTTTTTTGCAAAATAATTGTCAATTCAGTAAAATTTTTCTGCAATGTTTTAATCACTGAAAATGAAACAAAATGATATTGTCGATTCAGTAAAGTAAAACTAATTATTAATGAAAAATTATAAAATTTATATTGTTTTCCAAATTTAGCAAATTTTTAAAAGTATTTGCAAAGTTTTTGCAATAGCAAATTGCATTTAAGTATTATGCAATGCAAAATTTGATCTAACCGAAATTTTTGCATATATTTGTGAATAAATTTGATGTGAAAGCAATCTGATCAAAAAACATATTTGATTAAAATTTAGACATTCATATATGACCTTATATAAGTTAACCAAAAGATTGCTATAAGTCTATTACAGAAGTGTTTATGCTTTAAATTAATTGCAAATTAATGAAAGCTCTTTGCTGAACAACGTTTCCCAACAAATAACAATTTTTTCTTTCAAAAAAACTTATGCTTTTACATTCTAGCAAATTACATTTATTTTCGAAGCCTTTGTTTTTTTTTTTTTCAATTTTATTATTGGCAATCTTGAATTATTTCAAAATGACTGATTGAATTTATTAAAGATATTTTCAGATTTCGAATAAATTGCCCAATTTTATTTTCTCTTCTGATTTAATTAAAAGCTGATAAAGCTTATTAAAAATTTTCAGCTAAAATAATGCATTATGAAGTTTATTTATTATTTTTGCAGGTTGGGCATACAAGCAGCAAAGGAATATTAAACGAAGTGAGCAATACTATTCTTAATTAGCTTCCATTTATTATTACATTCAAAAATTTAATGAAAAATTTAAATAGACAAATGCGTTTTATACTTTTTGAAATTTCAATAATTTTTAAAATTTTTAATCCAAAATTTTATTCTCTAATAAAGTTTTATTATTCACATATTGTAAATAAGCAATTATTTTTTCAAAATTTAGTCTACAAATTAAGTATTTTGTTTTTATAATATTTCTTCTTACATTTATTTAAACGCTATGTCATTCAAAGTCAAAAATAATAATAGGAGTTATCAGGAAATTCTTTGAAGACAAAAACCTTTTTAGCAAAATGTGAACAAGTACGATGCCCATATGGTGCTAAATGTCATCCTCATAGGTATTTTTGGACTCAAATTTCAATCAAATTATATGCTACAAATTTTTTAGTGTTCATTCTACTTTCTGATTTATGCAATACTAAGCACATTACCAATATACCAAACATGCAGATCAAGCAATGCTCATTTTTTATAAGCCAGTAATAACTAAGCTGTAGTTTTTAGGAGTACTAAGTGAAAAATTAATTATTCAGAACATAGATATTATAATTGTCATAAAAAATTAGGAAAAAAAAATTATTCATTTATTAATAACTTGTGCAAAAATTAGATTATAGTGCTAAGAATTAACAACTTTCATTCATATACTTTCAATCAAAAATAAGTCATTAAAATGAAGACAATTTCTTTTAATTTTGATTGAATCGTAGGGGTAAATGCGAATGTCGATCTTCGTGTAATAAAGCTGGTTCAGCGGTGTGTGGTACTGATAATGTTAGTTACCTCAGTGAATGTCATCTATCTGTACGGTCTTGTCTTGCAGTTACCGAAGGGAAATTAGAAATTCGAGTAAAACATATTGGAGCATGTGGTATGTCTATTGAATGCTGCAATTTTTTATGTATTTAAAAATTTGTAGCTCAAAAAGTTAATATTTCAGCATTAAATTATAATACTAGCTGTTGCAACAACTTTTTTTTACTATTTTTGCAAATAAATTTATTTTAGCTTGAACTTCCTTAATTTAAAAGTTATCAGATCATCAAAAACAGTTAACAAAATATATTCATTTTTCTTAAATTTGTGCTTTTGGATTCTTAAACAAATTATAGCATTTAAGCCGTGAAACTGAAATGTTATCGATAATTTTTAAGTCACTCTTCGTAATTTAATTTATTTGCATTTCATTTAGGCATTAATTTGAATTAAATTCACTGCCTGCTTTTTGCAATATATCCAGTATTACATATATCAATGCAAAAGTATCAGAAATTAAAGTTTTGTTACTTCAGAAAGTAAATTAAAACTAGCTATAAAATTTTTATAGTTTTTAACTACCATCAATTAGTTATTTACTACTGTAATATCCGTGTTAATGTTTTTCATGTATTTAATTTCCAAGAAAAAATCGAACTACTTAAGCACAAAATTTTAATTTGTTTATTTGTTACAAATTAAAATAGATTAGAAATTTAATTTTACAAAGCATTTATTTAAAAACAAAGGAAAAAATTAAAAAATCCTGAAATTTTATTGCTGTTATATTTTAACAGCAAGGTGAATCGTTATTGAAGCCATACTATAAACTTCTTTACTAGTCAGTCGATCCTTAATGAGAAATCAAAATAATTATTAAAGAAACATTTACGCATAACTTAAGCTTTGAATGTAAAAGTATAGACTGATGTGAAATAATAATGCAAAAAATAAAGTCGAAAATAATAATAATAATAATAATAACAATAATAATAACAATAATAATAATAGTACATAACTGGATTTGAAACGAACTTGCTGCGTTTTTTTGTACTACTTGAACATACTTAAAAAATGGATACTCTAATGATTACTATTGTTAGGCAAATATTATATATACATATATGTATATATATTCACCAAAACAGGCCTTAGGCTATGAAACAAATCGAATTTAAGGCTTAGAAGACTCTTTAAAATAGCTTTTTCCATCTTTTACTTCCTTTATATTTTTATTTTTCGCGAGAATTTTTGCCTGTTTTCTTGCATGCTTATATATAAATAAAATATACTGCATTTATAAGCTTCAAATTTCGTCTATCTTTACTTTAATTTTCAGATTTACTTGATCAAAACCACAAAAATATAGTTCTTATCAGACTATCAAGTTTTAGGCTTCGTTGTTTGCATTAGACTGCAAGTACTGTTCTTAAATCATTTATTTTCAGTTCAATTTTGAATTGTGCTAACTACAATGATTTGCTTATCTATGTATTAATTGGTTCTCTTATCTTTTTGCTTCTTTTTTATTTATTGTATTTGGAATTATTATTTTTCTTAATGAGACAATTAAATTAATTATATGGCAGCATACTGCTTACTTGTTGCTTGCATTTTTGTATTAAATATAGATTTAATTTCAACCTGTTACAAATGGACTAATGGTAAGTTCTTTTCAAAATTTTAATACACTTTCAAATTGTATCATTTTTAGTTACAAACTCTACATATCTTTACATAGCCAAAATTCTAAATTAAGAAAGTTTAAAGTTACTAAAGCTTGTATTATTCTTTACTTTTCATCAAGAATTTTAATCTCACAAAATGGAAAATAATTTTTTAATCATTATTTCCATATTGCGTTTTATTTGCTAGTTTTTTCAAACTCAAAAATATTTTTTCTTATCTATTCTATATATATTGATCAATCACATTTTATTGTTTTGCATAATCAAATATAATAATTTATTCAAATTGTATCCATCCAGAATAATATTTGTTATATACAATGAACTTACTGTTGTTATTTGTATAGAAAAACGTAACCCTTGCGAAGACTTACGTTGTGGTCCTGGCGAGCAATGTGTGATATCAGAAAATGGTCAAGGATATATATCCGCGCATTGTGTCTGCCCTCAACAATGTGACAATTATGGTGATAGTGTTGATTCTTCGCCAGTTTGTTCTACTGATGGCACTGATTATCAGTCTTTATGCCATCTTCGAGCTCATGCTTGTCAAACAAAACAAAATGAAAGTGTCAAATATTATGGCAGATGTGGTGATGATCATTATTTATTTGCTGTCTTATGTTTTTGTCTAATTTTACTCTCTGATAATATCATCAAAATATGCATATCAAATTCAACAATAATTTTTTGAGTTAAATTGTAACACAACAGAAATTTATATTACAATTGCTAATGCTCTTATTAAATAACATTAAATTAAAAAGTTGTAAAGTTAATGCTTCTCAAATATATGAAAGATGTGAATTAATAAAAATAAAATTTTTAAAAATTTATCTCAAAAAATCCTTCACTACAAAATTTTTGAATTTTTTTAATTAAAAATTTAGATCCTTGCAAAGATTTCATCTGCTCCACAGGCACTATATGTAAGGTATCAGCAGATCGTCGTCCAGAATGTCGTTGTTCACAACAATGTACAATGCATTCTGATCCAGTTTGTGCTACTGATGGAAACACGTACGTGACCGTTTTTCTTGATTTCTTTCAAAAAATATTGTTTATTGTACTATAAATAACTTTTAAAAGGTAGATTTGCATAGCAGTTAATTTGAATATTTTCACCTTTTTTTTCTCATAATTAATGATTGCAAATTAGTAAATATTAAAAAGTGAACAATCAGTTTACAAAATATGAAAGTTGATTTAATCAGTTAAACTGATAAATCTGTCTTATCATAAAATGATACATCTACTTACTCTGTTTAAAAAATAAATTGTTTGTATTGGTTGTGCATAAAAATATAAAATGATTTCAAATTTTATGATGAATTTCTTCTAGCTTTATTTTTTTAAGCTATGAGAATGAATGTTTGATGTCAGTGTCAGCATGTCGTAATGATAACGAAATTCAGATTTACAGCAAAGGGCGATGTAAAGGTCATTTATTGAGCTATTGTTTTTTTTTTACGTTAAATTTTCTATTCATTAAAATCATGTAATTATATATTTGTGAATTATATTTCTGAAATTGTTATAATTAGTTTACAATGATAAAAAAATCAGTTCATAGCCATAATCAGTAGTATTTAGGTAAGAATCATATTGTATCACACATAAAAGCATCATAAATGACTGTTGATATATAATTAGATTCATGAATTTTTATTTCGTGAAATATACTTTCCTAACAATCAAATAGCTTAGCACTCTGGTAAATCAAGTTATTAGTGCATATTTTAGAATTATTTTATGAAAGCAAAATTAATTAAGCATTTATATTTAATTAATTTTTTGATAAATGTATATGAACTTGAGTATATTTTGTAAATTTTCTTTACCATATTTTCTGAATTATTTGATTTGTATATTACTAATTGTTTCACTATTTAAGAAAAGATTATATCAATTTTAATTACTTCATTACTAAAATAACGTTACTTTTATAATTATGCTTGATTATGGTAATGCTTAAAAAGTGATAATCACTAATTTATGCAAATTACAGAGAATAACCCATGCAAAATGATCCATTGTTTAGACGGAGAAACATGTCACATTCACGAAAATGGTAGTGCTGTATGCAAATGTATACAATTCTGTCCACCTGTAATGAATCCCGTTTGCGCTGTTGTTAGCTGCTTTTTTTTTGAATTTTTATTTGAGATTTGTCACTAATTATTGAAATTTTTTATTTAAAACTGCAAGCTTTGAAGTAAAGTTTTTTTCTGTTTTTTTACCATAATTTGCATTAAGCTAAGTAATGATACTCATTTGACATAACATTTGAATCATTTAAAATTATCCGTGACAAAAAGTCAAAGTTCAGTATCTGAGTAATTAAAAATCTTAGAAAACAAAAACAGGTTTTATTTATAGTTTTTGCTCATTTGGCTTTTATTTTGCTTTCAAAAAAATTTATAATAAGGATTTAGAGAAACAAACTGAACTTTAAACTTCTGCAAGCATACTTTCAACTTATTTAGACATAATTAATGCAAATTAAGTTTTTGAAATTTGTTTTAATTAATTGTTCTCACTTTACTTCAAGAATGTAATCTTTGTGAAGTTATTATCGAAAGTTTTTTAAACATTGTGAAAGTTGCAAAACAATTATTCAAAAAATTTCTGCCAAAGGCAATTTAATTTTATGAGGGATTTATTTTCTGCGATAATTTCATTCTACAAACATTTTATGTTTTTTTAAAATTTTACTAATAATGTTTTTCGCTTTACAGAATGGAAAAACTTATGATAACGAATGTGTGATGCGACGTTCAGCGTGTTTGTCGAGAATACGCAGTACTATTCGACATATGGGCATCTGTGGTGATTTAATAATTGTCTAAATTTGTAAATTATAAAAGCCTTTCTTTTTTTTGCCTGAATCATTGTTTAGCTATAGCAAAAACACGCAAAAAACCATTAATTTTATGGTAAAATTTCAAAAATATAGACTTTTTCTTAGAAAGGATTATAAAATTAGTCAGTATAATTTATTGTAAGAATTAGGGATTTGAGATAGTAAAAGAAAATAAATTGAAGGTGTGGGTGTGTGTGCTGGCTACAAAGGTTGTCCAGCACCTAAAGTATGTGTTGAGCGAAATGGACAACCGGTATGTGAATGTGAAACTTGTGATTCCCAACTTAGTGAAGTCTGCGCTTCTGATGGCATCACTTATGCAAATGAATGCAAAATGCGATTAGAATCATGCTTGACTGGCAATATAATTTACCAGAAATACAATGGCATTTGTGGTGTGTTCAATTTATATCTCTTACAAATTTTTTTATTTCTTTTGGTTATTTTCCTTTTCTTTTATTTACAACTTATAAAAAAATTAATATTCTTACAAATAACTGTTAAATTCCTTTTCAATACTAATGAATTTAATGAGCTATGTGCGTTTTTATTCCATAACTGATTGATCAATTAGGAATTTTTGTAAGCAACAAAAGTGATTGTTGTTGACAAAAGTCTATAGTTGATTTTATGTACTAAAATGTTACAACAAAATCGAAAAAACATATTTACATATGTGAATTATATATAGCAACTATGAACTGAAAGTATCTTAATTTGAATTATAAATGATTTTTCTTTATAATCAAAAATGCTCAAATATATTTTTGACAAAAAACAACAGCATAATATAAGTGCTGTTCATAAAACTTTGGGTTTCTAATTAAAATTAGATAGAATAATACTATCTATACATAATTTGATTAAAATTAAGCTTATCATCTAGATGGTTGTGTCGATGTTCGGTGTGAATTTTATGCCGTTTGCGTATCAGATGAAACTGGTATTGGTTCTTGTCGGTGTCCGAGTCAATGTATTGGAAGCGATGAGTCAGGTTAATCTTTTTACTTAATAAAAATTAAAAATAATATGCAATATTTATAATCTATTAATAATTAATCAGTTGTTAATGTGTAAATAATATGAGTTTGGTCAGGAATGGTTTGCGCAACTGATGGTATCACTTATCAATCTGAATGTCAGATGCGTATAGCAGCTTGTCAGCAACAAAAGTTTATAGTTGTCGCATTTCATGGTTCATGTGATAGTTGCTCTAATGTTATTTGTCCAAGTGGACAAAAATGTCAAGATGGTATTTGCTCATGTTCTGATACTTGCCCAAATGCAAATAATAATTCACAAGTAATATTTTTTCATAATTTTTTTTGTCTATCAATATTTTTCACATTTTATACAATTTTAATCTATACAAAATACAAAAAATATATCAGGCAAATTAAATTTAGGTGTTGAAAATATTTGAATTTTAATTTAAAAAGATGACTTCAATTAAAAATATTTTGTTAATTTCAAAAATTTTTGCAGTTTTTGTAAGAATTAGAAGTTTTTCCTTATTTTTAAACATTTTTTAAACTTTTTAGAGAAAAAAATTTGTGCAAAAAAAAATAATGAACCTGTCTGTACTAATGTATTAATAATTCATGCAAAAATTCTAAAATTTTTTATTTATTCATAATTTTTAAAATTAAAGGTGTGTGGTAGTGACGGAATATTTTATCAATCAGAATGCCATTTAAAAATTGCATCATGTCGTAAAAGCTCTACATTATCCATTCAACATCCAAACCATTGTCAACAATTACTGAGTAAAATTGGTTTGTTGATTTTTTTTTCAAGTTGAATACTAAACAATATTTTTCTTAATTAATGCGCCTGAGTTGAAGAAAAAAATCAGATCAAATTTTATAATATCAAGATGTATAGCATTAAAATTTGATTATGGTAAGTTTTGAGTAACACATTAAAACATTATACGTGTATTTTCTGTGAATGAAAGAACTGCAAAGCTTGTGACAGAAGTGTGCTGTACTTACAGTATGAAAGTTATTATTAACAATGATAATGATTATTACTCCGTATATTATCATAACCAATCAATGCTTTGAATGAATTTTGTATTCAAATAAGTGATAATAAATCTAACGAATCAGATAGATCTGTGGTGCTTACCTTTCTTCATTCCTTTCGTTGTTGTGAATTTTCAAGTTTTTTCATTTTCGCATTTTAATCTTTTTTCATATGCTTACCATTTTATTCATTGCTTATTTAACTCAGTCTATTATTAATTTTGATTACTAATTTTTTTATTAATTTTAACTAAGTTTTACTTCACGAAATATACAAGAATGAATAATTAAACTAAATTTTCTTATGAGCTTTTTCATGAGAATTTTAAGTCAGATTTTAAAGCAACGAACAAACTTTGGATAGCAAATTTTGCAAATTATTTAAGATTTATACTTAAAGTTTAACATATGACTTGCAGTGATTTTCTTTTGAATAATTTATCATTCCTGAGTTTTTTTCTTTAGCGATCCCAATTACAATAAATTCATAATTTGAACAAATTAACACATGGATTGTAAAAAACAAACTTATGCATATTTGATTCTGACTTAAAACGTAAATATGAATGACTAAAACGTGTTTGTTATTGTGATTAATATTTTTAAGTTATTTGGAGCTTTTTTGTGAAAAACTTTGCACTAAACTTGCTTCATAAAATATTAAATTATGTAAAAATTAAAAGTATATCCGTGTAATTATCTTTCTATACAACTGACAAAGCTATTATATGATGACACGCTATTTTTGAAAGATTTGATTAATTTGCATATTAACATTGTTTTGCTTAGGTATATCTGTAACTTAAAACATTAATAATTTAAATTAACAAACTATTTAAGAATTATATGAAGGATTTGGGGATTTTTTTCATAACCTATCACTTTTCTCAGATGTCATAATGGGGATGAAAATTAAATGTTAATCCAAAAGTAAATTATGGAAGTTATCTCTAACTTAAAACATTAATAATTTAAATTAACAAACTATTTAAGAGTTATGTGAAGGATTTGGGGATTTTTTTCATAACCTATCACTTTCGGGTGCTTTTCTCAGATGTCATAATCGGGATGAAAATTAAAAAGTTAATCCAAAAGTAAATTATGGCAGTATCGTTTTGCAAAGTCTAAAAACTTTTCAGTCTTTCACTAAAAAAAAAATCTTGAAAACAGTTGCAAAAGCTCTCACCAGTAATGAAATAAAGTAATTTAAATTAAAACTTATAATCATTATTAATCAAAGCTTAATGTACAGGCTAAAATTTTTTATAAAAGATTGACAAATTTTACCAATAATATATGTTTATTATTATAAATTATATGAAACAAAAAACTACACAATCGAATGTTCAAATAAAAAATAAATATTTTTACCTTCAGTGTTGTGGTGTGTGATTGTTGTTCAGGTAATTTTTTGGCGATGAGCAAATGTGATGAGCAAAGTTGTTCTTTTGGTGGTACTTGCGTAGTATTCACGGACAATAAGAAGGCATCTGATGCATGTCTATGTGATTTCAACTGTTCTATAACTTCTGACATGGAAGTTATTTGTGCTTCTGATGGAAATGTTTATAATTCAACATGCTTCATGGATTTCGCTTCATGTCAACAGCAAAAAGCGATTTATGAGATGACTCCAATATATCTTTGTCATCATAACGGTAGTATCACAAATGAGATCCTATTTTCTTTTCTTTGCTAAAATGCTAATTTTAATTGTTTTAATTATTTTTAGAATTAAACTAAGAATAAATAAGTCAGTAAATATTTAATTAAAAATTGTCGTGATTTGTAATAAGTGAATTCAGAAGTTATTGTTTATTCATTCTGAATGTTATCTATTTACATATACTTTGACGGGACAGTTTTTTACTTTAACTACAAATTGTTGCAGTACAAGCTTTGCACACCACAGTATACAATATTATAATTACTTTTCGTAACTCATTCTTGTATTATTTACTATTCAAGTGATTACCAGTGCAGTGGATAATGAGGCAAAAAACATAAAGATACAATAATTTCTTTTGAAAATATTCGTTTATATAATTGCCTTTTTTGGCATTACCATCATTGTTAATAATATTTTTTTCGTATTTACATGTGAAAAAAGATCAAAAAACTAAATATTTTTCCATTAGATTTTTTTTTCAACTTTTCATTTTTATTTTGCATGATAATTGATGAACTTGGTATTGTATTTGAAAGGAATGCAACAGCAGATATGATTGAAAAATTGTGCATTAAATATTGTTATAATTGGGATAGCAAATAGATTGTTATCTTTTGTTAAGTTTGCTTCATGTTTGATTTTTAAGATGTTTATTAAGTTGGTACTATTTTTCTACAGTCAAACAAACTAATAACATATTTCAGATGGATGTAGATGTAATCGTATCGGATCATATAGTAATAATTGCGATCACAAAGGTCAATGTCGATGTCTTCCAGGTGTTGGTGGTCTAAAATGTGACCATTGTTTGCCAGACTTTTGGGGTTTGCACTTAATAGCTAAAGGAGCTTTGGGATGTCAACGTAAGTCATTTTTGATAACTTCTTTTGGAAAGTAGTGATTATGGTCATACATTATTGGAATATGTTTTATTTATTATATAAGTTAAACTTAATTTTTCACGTTTCTTTCAGCATGTGGTTGTTCGCTATTTGGTTCTTCACGTTCTGATTGTGAGCAGTCATCTGGTCGTTGCCAGTGCAAACCAAATTCTTTCGGTACAAAATGTGAAACATGTAGCTTGGATTCTATATTAACTTCTAATGGTTGTATTAAAAAAACAGAGTTACGAGAAGTCAAGTGAGTAAATCTCATCTTTATTCACAAATATTAGTGTAAATAAAACTTCCTCATGTATATATATCCATATATTCTTATAAAAAAATAAAGAAAATAATTAATTAATATTTTATCAAATATTATGAATATTTTCCTGTCAGTTTTATAGTCATTTTTAAATAATCATTGAACTTATAGTTTTGTTCAGTTCGCCACAATAAAGGAATGCTTTCTTGATTTCAAAATTAATAATTATTTATATGTATTTGAATGAAAATTAAAATTGATAGTACATTTTTACAGGGATTGTAACAAATTGTCATGTCATCATGGAGCTACATGTGTTATGGCAAAATCAAACGAACCAATTTGCGAATGCCCAAAAAACTGTCCAATAGATCATCTTGGCATTGTTGCTGAAATGGCTATTTGTGGATCAGATGGCAATACTTATGACAATATGTGTGAATTATGGCACTTTGCATGCATTCATCAACTTGACATAGTTCCATTTTCTCTTGGGTCATGCTTGCAAGGTACAGTAATCTATGATAGCAATGATAACTGTGATAATTTTGAGACAATAACGATGATCAATTTATTGTACTATATTTTGTAAATATATTAAAGAAAAAAGTACTCAGTTACTGCTTATCAAGTAGATTTTATGCAAAATATCATATTTTAAATTATAAAAAGATTGGAAGAACAATTTTTCAAATCAACATGTTTAATAAGTATTTAAAAATGGTAGGTAACTCGGAATTCAACTTCGTTTGTTGATTAAAAGCAGAGTTATCTGAATTTAAGACGAAAATAATGGCGATATGCAACGCCGCCGAGAACGTAAATTGCATTCAACGGCAGTTTTGGGAAGTCTTTGCGTGGATGACGAAGACTGTCCTGTTTTGAATTCATACTGCAAGGATTTTAGTACTACAAAGTTGAGATATTGTGAATGTAAACGTGGATTCTTTTCATCGAAAGACAAACTAAAATGCTTACAAGGTTAAATATTCAGTCATTTTTTACTTTTCTTATTTTCTTATGTTTTTTTTTTCCAAAAATATTTGTTTGAAATTAATTTTTGTTTAGCTCTAAAAATGAGATTATCCAAATCAGTGCAACAGTTCAATGCACTAGTTGAATTGTTAATTGAAAATACAGTCAGTGATAGACTTAATAAATGAAATAGTAAACCAATACTTTATCTTGTTTTACTTACTATTTTATTTCTAAAGTAAACTGCTTAATTCTTATAAAATAAAATATTCTAATAAATTATTCACAAATCTTTTAATAATGTAATTTAGATATTATGGAGGGAAAACTTATTACTTATTTATATTTTAGAAAAAAATGAATGCTGGAAAGATTTTTGGTTTCTTGATGGAATGTCAGGAATAAAAATAATTGATCAGAAATTTGTAAACCGTTTATTTTCATTTCGATTAAAGGTTTGTCTATATTTTTGGTTAATTAGTAAATTTAATCAGTACTACATTTAAATTTTGTCCTCGACCATGAAATATTTTTTGGGAGATTTTGAATCTGATAGCTAAATATTACCATTTTATAAAAATAAAAAAAAATTCCTACATTACTATCTCTAAAATTTTGAAGTGTTATTTGTTATTTTGATTTTGAATTTAGATTCGAATAACTGATTCTTGGGGGATATTGCTTTATGCCGATTTAAATAAAATGACTGATTTTGTTCTCTTATCATTGTACAACTCAAAACTTATTCTTAGGTACATTTTTGTGTTATCAACATTATTTATATTCTCAAAATCAAACATTGGTGGAGATGCATGCATTTTTTGCTTGATTATTGCAGTCCAATTAGTTTATTTATCATTTATTTACTTATTTATATAAAAATTGAAAATAAGGTAGTCGACAGAAAATTTCGACAAAAAACATCGTTTATCATTTTTTTTGATTGCAAAATGCAAATTGTGGCTTTTTTTTAAATAATAATTTTTAATTACAAAAATTAAGCAAGACCTTTAAAATTTGAAGCATGTAAAAAGAAATTCTACAATTTAAATTCATACTTTTCTTCATAAGTTAACAGTTTTTATAGGTTTTGTATTCGACGTGAATGTTTACTTAAAGTGTATATTTAAACGTCATACTTCTTAAAATTTCTCCTTAAAATTGTCTTCATAACAATTAGATAAATTTTATATAACTCTTTATAGCAGTACTTTTCAATGAATATTTTTTGCAATTTGCACAAAATAGTCTTTTTTTTTTCAGTTTTTCGTTGAATAGTAAAATATATGCTATTGAATGGGAAAATGCACTGAAGTTAAATCATCCATATTTGATTCGAGTTAATTTTTTGAATGATCAAATTACGCTGGCAGTAGACGATTTGAGTGCAATGATTTTCAAACTTCCTTTAGAAATTAATAATCCATTAGCTCAAATTTCTTCCGTATATCTCGGATATGCACCGATCAAAAATCTAAAGTATGTTATTTTTGCCTTTTATTTTATCCATGATTTTTTATCAAAATCACTATATTAATTAATCAATTTTTTTTAATTAAAAATTAATGGAAGATTATTTTTTGATTATATTGTAAATTTAATAATTTCCAATAATGTCATTTGTATAAGTTTCATTTAATTCTTTAATTAATCACTAATATGCATGAATGCTGTCTACGACACTTCAAACAAAATAAAATATATTATTAATTTTTAATTCTATTAAAACATGGTATTTCAGTTTACATTCAATGGAAAAAACATATAAAAATTTTACTGGCTGTTTATCGAATGTATTTATTAACGGACGCAAAATATCTCAAAAACATATTATACTTTTGGGCAATATTGGTAAAAAATTATTAAATTTTTTTGCCTATACACATAGTAATATCATTCTTTGTAAAGGAAAAATCAACAAAATTTGAATAGTCAGAAAGAAGTCCATTTTTAGGGAGTGTTCATTCTGAATTTTGTCAGAATCGAACTTTTTTATACTTTTAACAAAATATTCAAAAGGGTTTGTAGAATTAGCATAAATAATTTTTGATAATATAATGTTGGTTTTTTGAATTTTTAGTACTAAGTGAAGAAAATTTTATTTAAGCTCAATGCTGGCATAATTCATGCAGAAATAATAATTGTTTAAATAGTACTATTTGCTTGTCGAATAGTTCACTTTGTCACTGTAATCAGTATCACAACGGTTTGTTTTTTTCATATACGTGAAAGTCAGAACAAATTCTGTCAAGTTATGAATTCATTGAATTGAAATAGAAATTTTTTAAGTGTAATAACTGAAAAGGGAAAAAATATTAAGAATGATCACAACTTTTATTGCTTTTTTTGCCCTTTGACCTATCAAAGTTCTTGAAAATTTTTTTGTTGTTGTTTAAAATCTAATTTTTGCATTTTGTTTCAATTGTAGGTCAAGTTAGTGAAAATCAGTCATGTACAAGCACACTAGCATGTGGAAAAAATTATTCTTTGACTGGTCAGCAAGAATTAGGTTTACTTTAATTTGCAAATTAAATCATGCAAGTTTTACAATTAAAAACGATTAATAATGTAAAGAAAAATTTGCAAGCTACCATTTTCATTGTATTAAAAGCAGGCAAAAGCATAAAAGAAACTTAGCGAAGATTTTTATTGAAGAAAGATTTGATACTAAAAAGTATCTGAAATTTTATTGCAGAAGAAAAATTAATTCATAATTCAATTCCATTATTCACTGGCGATGGCTATCTTATGAAAAAGAATCTGAAGATAAATGTGAAGGAAAAACTTGAAGTAGAATTGTGGTTAAAATCGTTAGATCCAGATGGATTGGTATTTTATTGGGCTGATATGAATGCCAAAAGTGAATATATTAATGGTGATTTTGTTGCTTTAGTACTTATTGCTTCACATGCTCACTTTTTTTGGAATCTTGGTTCTGGAATCTCTTACTGCAGGTATGTTAATTTCTTCAGCTAGAACTTTAAATATTTTCAGTCTAAATCTAAAATTGATTATGATTTCATCGCCATATGGTCGAATTTAGAAATTTTTTATAGTTACAAGTTGCTAAATTAAGTCAGATTTGACAAGTTTTTTGACAACATAGTTGAATTTTTTCGACTTTTGACCCCACTACAAATGATTAAGTACTGAATCAATCTACAAGATTTTTGGCTTCCCATATTAAATTTCAGTTCATCTCTCAAAGGAATTTATTTAATGAAGAATAAAAACAGAGCATTTTAAATGTATTGAAGAAAATAAAGGGATTGTATCATTCGCAACTTCACTTGTAAAACTATTTTTGATGCATTTTTTAACTTCTCCCGTATCTTCTATGATTCAGATCTTCTACAACACTTTCCAACGATCACTTTCATTCCATCCGTTTTGGAAGACATTTACGTACTGGCTTCATTCAAGTTGACAATGAAATGACTACAACTCAGACTTCTGAAGTAATTTAAATTAAAAGTTGGATTTATTGGAACTAATGTAATACATGACTAAATGATCTTCATTTTTCATGCTACAAAAATTCTAACTTTACAGGAAATAGTACAATTTTATTCCAATTAATTTTTAAAGAAAATTTTTAAATATTTTTTTTCAACTTAACTACGAAGAAAATTGATTATTTTTCCGAATTTTTATTCACTTTTTACTAGGATCAATAAAATTTGAATTTACAGAAGTAAACAGAAAGATTATATATGAAAATTGATATTTATGTATCAATTTTTATTTATTTATTGACTGTTGCAACTATTTTTGGATTATTTTTATAGGCAGGTGCTTCATATTTGAATGTGAATAATGGCAAGGCATTCCTAGGCAATGTACCAAACAGAAGCATTCTTCCAAGTGAAATACCTGAATTTACGGTACCGTTTCGAGGTGCAATACAACGATTGTCTATTAATGAATTATTATTCTCTAAACTACTCAAAGTAAAGTATTTAGAACATTACGCTCATTTTTTTAATTAATTCAGCATTATTTGCATATTTTAAAATATTGACGATCAGTACTGATTGAAAATAAACTGATAATTAATATTATTCAAGGAATTTCAACGGTTTGGCAAGGTTTTACAATATGAAGGATTTCCTTGCGCTGATGAGGAATGCCAAGAAAAGAGTATTTGCTTTCCAAAGTTAAATGAATATAGTTGTTAGTGCCAATCAGACAAAGTCATCCAGAGTCAAATCCATTAATTTAGGCTGCAAAAATTTTTAAGATGCAATAAAAAAGAAGCTATATTTTAAAACTACTTTTTGCTAGTTTACATAATAAAGAATAGTTCTGAAGTTGAAAATTACGTTTTTAATTGCCAATTTAAAGTCTGCCAAAATTTATGATAACTAATTTTAAGTTTATCCAATTACACTTTTTCAATATATTTTAATTACAGTTTCATCTACTATTTATAGCTAGCATTAAATAATTTGAATACTGCCAGGTAGAAATAACAATTGCAATCCAAATGAAAGCATGCAGTTTGATGGAAATACAGAATATCCGTTACTTACAAAGACGATTCGAACGTTAGTTTCAATTATTAATTTTGTTTTTATATTTAATTTATTCAACAAAAAACATGAAAAGCAACATTTTTGTGTGGTAAAAATAAAATTTTTATCACTCAGCAAAGTTATTATGATTATAAATGCAGCAGTTCGTAAGTAACTAACTTTATACTTGATGCTTTACATATCGAAACAGCAGTCGCATGCAAATAATGAAAAATATTTTTGAAAATTCTTATTTTTACGTAGTTTGCTGTCAGTGTAAAATGAAGTACTCAATGTTAATTATTAATAGTTAGTGTTTAAATAAATTGCTAATTATACTGGCAGAATTTTCTAGCATTTTTTTTCTAACTTTTACAAAGTTTTTAAATGCTGGAAATCTTTATGCAAATTGTAAAATAAATAAAATCAGTTTATGTTTTATGAGTTTTAGCAAAAGATCAAAGCAAAAGACAGATTATCAATTCATGCTAAAAACTAATGAATCGCAAGGATTAATTTGGTGGGAAGGAACAAGCGATTCAATCAAATTACACTATTTGGCGATATTTATCTCTGCTGGAAAGCTTACTTTTTCGATAAAATTTAACTCCGAGTCAAAGGTCAAGGCAATTGGATCAAATGTTATTATTAATGATAATTGCTGGCATAATGTCAAGTTATTAAGGTCAGTTTTATTTCTTTCCATTCAAAAATAACAGATTGCACTGCTTTTTTACGTTTTCATATGAATTTCTTTCTTTCCTTTTTTTAGCAAGCATGAAAATGCTGAAAAAATACCAAATTTTAAATAATTTCTTGCATTATTTTTTTGCTAATAAAATACGGCTTATGACTTATTTTATTTTTGCAATCCAAATTTATGTATTATAACTGAAATTCACACTTTTTGCTTCTAAAATTGAAGCTAAAGAAACAAACGAATTTTAATTATTAAATATGACACATTTTAGAATATCAAAAAAATTGACAAAAACTTGCTAATAATTAAATAATATGTATTTATTCACTCTAAGCTTTGCTTTTACATTTAAGCGGTATATATAATTCAGTACGTTATCAATTTAATACGTAATAATTTTGATTAAAAGTATGTATAGAGAGAAACGAAAGATTGTATTCGAAACTGACAAGGAGAAGATCATTCATGTTTTACCACCTGATGGAGCAGAACTTATTACGAATGAAGTGATTTGGATCGGTTAGCCTTACAATAGTAACTAAAACAAACTTGATTATATTTAAAATTCTACGAGTGCAAATTATTTTCGGAAGTTTGAAATATAAAAAACTACACGTAATATTGTAGATTAATTTTTGCCATAATGAATCAAAAGTCAAGTGTTTTACGAGTTTTTTTTTTTTGTAATCTACTGAATGAGTTGAATATTAATTATGAATGAGTTAAGCATTAGCATCAAAGTTAAAATTTAGTACTAATTTTAGGTGGAAGAAAAAAAGTGTTGCATAATTTTCCATTACAAACATTATTCAAAGGATGTTTGGGAGATATACGAATTGCATCAAAACTAATTAGCATAGAACAAGAACTGTCATCTAATCGAATACCTCAGAAATGCAAAAATTGAAACAAATGATTCAATAAATCAGATCAAGTGAATAAAAAAAACTTCTATCATTTTATATTAATTAGTTAGTAAAGATTATTGTTCTTAAATTTGTTTATACTTGACTAACTTTGAAAATATTTTTCCAAATTCATAGTCAGTACTGAATTATTTTTTAAATCAAAGTCTACGTATTTTTGATGATAGATAAGTGTTCAAGCATTTTTATTATTGAAAGTCCAACTTACGAGAATTAAGCATTAACTCTTATGACATCAAAGTTATGCAAGGATGTAACAATGAAAACAGAAAATTTGCATTAAATGAAAAGTTCTAAATTGTCATGCATGAATTAATTGATGAGAAACAAAAATTCTAGCACAAACTTCTTAGTCTACTTGCTAAACTAAGTCATTGGAATAATTATTTACCATCTAATTTAATTTAATCACTTTGTGTTTTGAATTTATGCGATAATTTGAATATAAGAGTGCACTGCTAATCTGGCTTGCTATTTATTATTAAAATTTTATCCCATACATTGGTATTTATTTATTTCAAAGTATAGAAAATATTATTGCAGCAAATATATAAGCATATATTTGTTTTGCTGATATTTTATAATTTTTTCTATTCATCAAAAATCAACTATTTTTACTTTGTTGTTTTTCATTTGTTGACATTATTCAAATTAGTTCGCTATTTCAATGAATTTTACTTTGTTGACATTGAGAACTTTGAAATAGCACTATTGCTGGATGTATGCACTAACAATTTTATAGCTATGAAATCAAGCTAGTCTAGCTATTTTAAGAGGTTAATAATTTTTTTTAACAACTATTTTTTGCTGCTAATAAATTTAGCCTATAAAATGTATAACTGCAAAAAGCAAAGTAAAAGTTTCCAAAAAAAAAAAAAAAATTCACTAATGCTTTGTTATATTTTGCAATTTGCAGTTAATTTATTTTTTGCAATAATTACTTTTCAACGTTATTTTTTTAGCAAGTTTTGTTTGTATGTATTTTGCTTTTATGAGTTAATAAATAGTACAAACTTGAAATTTAGATTTTTCAATGACTGTCATAAATTATAATTTTAATATATAAAATTCAACATTCATAAACAGATGAGATCAGTGCTGTCATACGAATAATATTAACTTTTTTCAGATAAATACAAAAAGCGAATTTAAAGTTTAGTACTAATGTTGAAAGGTATTGCTTTTGTAGAGGGAGGTGAATATCTACTTACCTCCTCCCTACCTATCTACTTGCTCAACGATGATCCAAATGTTGTGCTGTAAAATAAACTTGAAAAAATTCTGGTTTTTGAGTACAGTCAAAGCTAATCTTATCGAAAACAGCTTACCAATCAGTATCGTTTCTTGACTCACGTATATTAGTAACTACGAAATATTTTTACCTCTTAACATCATACTTAATTGCTTTCTAATCCAACAAAACTTTCATTTTCGGGAAAAATGGTTAGTTTTAAAAATTTTTCAAAGTGATATGAGAGTCATAAAATAAACGTATGTATAAGTTATGTTTTTTAAATGCCAAAAAGATAAAAAACTTATAATATTTACAGCAAAAAAAAAAATTTATACGTTTAAGTTTTTTAAAATATCACAATCTTTCAAAAATAATAAATAGCGATTAAGAAAAAGATTTAAGAACAATGAATAGAAACTTAATGAATTATTATTTTCTTAGAAGTGGTTGGTTATACGTTATATATTTTACTAATTTAAGCAATAAACAAACTTTTCATGATTAGTAATAATATTATTTATAAATGCATTGCTGAATAAAATGTATTTGTGAAAATTTAGGACGAAAAAGATGGTGTTACCGATGCTCTTAGCCAACTTTCACCGGAACAAGTTGAACGTATGCTAATTTGACTTCTAACTGATTATGAACTTTCCACAAACAAAATTTTCAAATACATTTTATAACGATAAGTTTTTTGTTAATTTTTTTTTTTTGCTTAATATTTGTTAACAATATAGTAAAGCAGTATTGTTTTAGAATTTCGAAAATATTTTAATATGTTCGATAAGGAAAATAAAGGTTTTATCAGAGCAACACAGGTGGGACAAATATTGAGGACAATGGGACAGGCATTTGAGGAAAGAGATTTAAAGCAACTTATTAAGGAATTCGATACTGACGGTGAATGCATATTAGTATATTTTTGATTTTTTACATGTATAATTTATTTCATTAAAAAAAATATTTTAATCATAAAAATTTTAATTACTACAGTTAACTAATTTATTTGATATTAACAGGATCAGGTGAAATTGAATTTGAAGAGTTTGCTGCAATGGTCGCTAGTTTTGTTGTTGAAGATGATAACGCTGGTTTGGAGGAAGAATTACGCGAAGCTTTTCGTTTGTATGATAAAGAAGTATGTAAGATAAATTACAGTACAAAAATTTTTGTAGCAAAAGTTTGAGTACCACTAATAAACTGTTAAGATAAAATGTATCATTATTACTTTACTTTCTGTGAGCTCTCATATAGACATACAAAAATAACACTTTGTTATCATTTTGAGTGATTATGATATCAAATGTAACAAAATATGGTAACGATACTGATGGCAAAAAATAATCTCATACAAGCAATAATAATTTAAAAAAGTTCGTTTAATGTGCTTCTGCTTCAAATTATTTTCAAATTTTCTATAGTATTAATTTTTTTGACAGATTAATAAATGGATTAAGTAATTATAAGATATATAATGTTATTTGACTGCAAAAAATTAATTTAAACGTTTTTATCTTACTACATTACATTTTTCTTTTAAAGGGTAATGGCTACATAGCGGTATCAGATTTACGCGATATTCTACGTGCTTTGGATGAAAACGTTTCAGAAGAAGAGCTAGATGAAATGATCGCTGAAATTGATGCTGATGGTTCAGGAACTGTTGATTTTGATGGTAAATCAAAATAAAAATAATAATTCATGAATTTTATTAAAGTTTTTGAGGAAATTTCAATATATTTACAAAAGAATTATGTCAATAGTTGAGGTTATATATGTTAAGATTATTTCTTACATAATTTAAATGTATGCAATCACATCATATTCACTAATTAATTTCTTTCAAAACTTTATACTAATAAATTTAATTTCAGAATTTATGGAGATGATGTCAGGTGAATAAAAACAGAAAAAAGAATTAAGAAGCACAAATAACGAAAAAAATTTTGAAAATATTTCTGCCATAATTTTGATTCAATCAGTCAATCGTAAAATAAAATTTTATTTAATCATACTTTGTGACAAAATTTAATAATAAGTTAAAATTCAATTCTTTCTTTTATACTTATGCATTTATCTTATTCATAATATATTTATGGATTATATTTTGCATTAACGTGTTGAAATACATTCATGAATTTCATTAGAAAGCCAATACATTCAGTAATCATCAAAACTGCTAGTGATGTACATAATAACAAAGGTTTATATATTATACTTTATATTAGACCTTGGGAATGCTTATTATTGCATTCAAGCTTACAAAAGATAGCTATCTATAATTAGTATATTTAGGTTGATAAAAATAAAAACATTTGTGATTGACCAATTAGATTTGAAAGAACTCAAAATTGACGGTGAAATAGTAAACTATATATCAGATTTCAAATTAAAATAACTATTGATGCAGGTGCAACAAGTGTTTGATTTAAAATAAAAAGATCTAAGATGTAGAGTTTCATACTGAGGCCGCGTTTACCATATCTTTTAATTTCTTATCAGTTGTTAATTATCATTATGATAATGTTAGTCTGTGTCAGTAATTAACTTATTTGTTTTGTGTGTGTTTCCTTAAAATGTTTGGTTATAATGAGTTATAGGATGATTGGAGAAAGGAAGGTATGTCCCATTATTTGAGTACATCACATAAGAAATGATAAGAAGTGCGAAAACAGGGCTAAAATACGCTGCTGGCAGACCGTCTATTGGTTTGGCATTATTTGGATGTAAAAATAGACCTGCTTATCGAATTGTTGTATTTCCTCACAAAGCGTACGGAAGGCATCACGAAGATAGTATTATTGAAGAGGTAATATTATCTGTTTCTTTTAATATCTGTATATAGTAAATATGAATGCATGAGATTTCAATATCTTTCATCGTATGATCTTTTACTCTATGCTTACGAAACACTTTACAAATTACTTATTTGGTAGTGTTATGTCAGAATGGTTGATCTTTTAGAATATCTAGAAGTAGGTGCATAGAACAGTTTATTATTAAATAGGGGTTACTGCAACAGTCATATAATAATTTAAGCTTGGCGCTTTTGATCCGTTGCCCAATTATCGAAACGAGAAATTAGTTGCTTGTGATATCACTCGTTTAAAGTATTGGATTGGAGAACGGGACGCTCATATATCTCCATCGCTTTTGGAACTTTTAGGTTTGCTTCTTATTGATGTAATTACAATACATTTGTACTCTCTCATACATGATGAGAAATGCTGAAATTTGAAATCAAATTGTTTTTCAATATCAACGTGAATTCCAGAAATGAAATCTATCCAAAGATATCAAAATTAAGAAATACTAAAGTTTAGTGTTTTTGATTCAAAAAGATAAGATGTAACATAAATAACGCGATGTGCGAATTTAGTACAGTGTTTTGTAGTTTTTGTTTTCTTTATTTTTTTTATTGGTGCAATGGTTTTATATAAAATATCCATAATAAGGTGTAATGCAATATATTGTCACCAATATTGAAAATTATAATGGAATGATGAAAATATCATGGATATATTGCAACCATTACATATATTCTTGTAAAACATGCAATTATTTGGTTAGTATTCAATTACATTGTAACTTCACAGTTTTGCAAGGTTATATATAAAAGTAATGCAGTATTGATCACAATTTCTAATTCAACCAAAATTTATGTTTCACAGAAGTTACATGTTGAAGCCATACATTTGTTGTCATTATTTGATTCTTCTCGTGCTGAAACAATCTATTAATCATTACCCCACTCTTGCACTGCTTTTTAAAATAATTTTTGTCTTGCTTAGCTTCAAAATACTAGTGTTAGCAAGTAGCAATTAAGCTTCTTTATTACGTAAACATGAATCCAAAAAGTTATGCAATATATTGAACTGTCATATTAAGTGAATAAGCTGCACATTTTTATTAAATATTAATTTCTGTTACCAAATTAATATGTCAAAAAAAAAAATGCTAGAAATATGAACTTCGTACATATATCGTTATGACTTCCAGAGAAACATGTTAAATATTTTTATATGTATTTCTACTCTTCACAATAAATTTTGGTTGAATTAGAAATTGTGATCAATAC